ACTATGAAGGAGAATACTTTGATCTTATCAATGACGAAAATTATCTTTGCGCCATCAACAATCAGGCTATGATTGTTTGTTGGGTAAACCATGATATTCAAAAATCGTTACTTCTAGACATGTCAGACTGCTTGCATTTATCTTCGGCAAGTCCATCGAGGTTCACTGCAATTTTGAGAAACGGATCTGCATTTCTTTTCCATTTTGATTCTCTTTCCAGAACATTTTCTGCGACACCTGTTGTTTCTCTTGAGTTGCGCTGGGGCAGTATCTCAATAGGGGACCCGCTTTCGTGCGGAATTTTGACTAATGCATCGGCCATTTGTTGGAATACTTGTGGCGAGACACTTCTTAACGAGGCATTGCATGGAAAATTGTTTTCAACTGCATTTGTGGATATTGACCTGCAGTTCCCTTTGGTTGCGAATCTTCCTCCATCCAATCAATCAAATTGTTCATGGGTCAGACGTGTGCGAGGAAATGTCAACGCTGATTGCAAAATTACTGCACTAGATCTTGAGTTCTTATTGTGGTTTATCCATGGTGTTCTACCTAAATGCTCAAATGATATACCCTGTGTGGGCAACCCATCAGATTCTCTGTTAGAATGCAGCCCAACATACAGCGTCTGCACTGGTAGGGGGGGGACACATCTGATGGACATGGATATGGATGGATTCATCACGATAAGAGATTCTGAACTTCTTGCTTCGACTCTTATTGGGACTACCTACATAGTTCTGCAATTTTGGATGCAGGAGATTGCTGGAGCTCAACCCATGTTGAAATTCTGGGTAAGTCTTGTTGATGTAAATCTTGATTCTCCAACAAACAAAACTGCATCAGTTTGGATCGAGACTAAAAATCTATACAGCACTGCATCTCAGACAATGTTCGTTGGAATTCAGGAGTCACCAGGAACTTGGCTTACTACGATTCAATATCAAGATGCAAGTCAGGATGTCGGACTCGTCCTTATAGTAGAGAAAGATAACCAAGGAGTGGTGAGACAGGACACCTACCAAGAAAGCGAAATTTTGAATGGAACAAGCTTTATTCCATTGGTGTCTGTCAATGAATCAATAACGAGTGCAATTCAGTCTCAATTGAGATACCATAGTGTATCGACAGCAGGAAACATGCTCTCAATATTTCTCCAAGCAAAAGACAACTTTGGGACTCCGCGGATGGTTGGCGGAGATCTCATTCAACTGGAAATATCTGCACGGCACATCAATGAATCTGTTTGTGTTTCAGCAAGCAATGATGAAATCAAGTTGGATCATTGCGATATGAATGGATGCTTGGTGCAACTGTCAAGGAATGACACTTGGACAACAGTATGCCCAATCAACTTTGACTCCTTCGAGCTGAATTTGATTTGCAAATCCCTCAGTCTCTCTTCGGCACATTTTTTTTCGCAAAACATTACATACAATCTATCACACGAATCTACATATCCGTTATCTTGTAATGGAACTGAATCTTACATTTCTGATTGCATTCGAGATTTATCCATGATTCAACCATGCATGATGAGTGCTAGGATTTTTGCATGTTGTCAACTGATGAATGAATTTAGCATCGAGAAGAACATACAACAGGAAGTGATTGATCACAAGAATGGTTCGTACTCAATTTATGCCTTCTTGACCCTGAGTGCATCTTACTCGATCATTCCATCGATTAATCATCAACACATGACTAAAGGTATACTTGTGAATGTACTTCCCGCCAAAGCGTGTGCAGAAAGAACGATAGTCTATGGAGCAGGACTAACTTTGAATTTCGCTGGAAGTTGCGGTTCCTTCTCAATATTGGGACGTGACTCATATGGAAATCTAGTTGATTTCGAATTTGGCGACATTCGTATCGAGCTATCTTTGCAGGGAAATATAGTACAGTCTTTGACGAAACCAGACGCGGATAACTACAAGAATTGTGACTGTGAACTATTGTATCCTTTAGGAAAGGGCCGCATCATGAGCAGATATTTTCTAACTATCTCAGGAGTCTATGGCATTGGAATTCATTTGAATCACTCGTTTTTTACGCAATACGATTCAGTTCTGCAAATTAAAGCATCAAATGTATCACCTTTTCAGACATTTGTTGAAATACAGTCGTTCATTCTCGTGGGAGAAAGGCAGTTAGTATATATTCATTTACGAGACGCATTCGGAAATTTGATTAAACAGCAAATTGTGAATCACAGTTTGTCTGTAGAATTGTATGGTCCATCATATATTGAAACAGAATACACTTCGTCTGACTTGGACAATGGGACGTCAACCTATCAATTTGTGGCTACTGTGACTGGCAGATATCAACTTATTGCAACTCTTGATGACCAACCCATTTCTGGAAGTTGTGATCAACCATGTATTTTGATAGCTTCACCAAACCCTGTGGCAGATTTCAGTACAGTACGTGGAAACGGGTTATCAGTTGCAACAGCTGGACAAATGTCTAAATTTGATATCATAAGTAGAGATCAGTATCTCAATTTGCGAACATCTGGACAGGACCAATTTATTGTAGATATTTATCCGTTGAATCCACAGACAACAACGTCCTCTATGCTTCTGCGCAAGGTCACTTATTACACAGATGGTCAGTACGTCGCTCAATACTCTCTGACAAAATCAGGCCAATACAAAATACGTGTTGCTTTGTATACTTCAAACGATTGTTCAAACTTGACTTGCCAAACTATTTTGCAAAACAAAACTCTGTCTGGGAGTCCTTTCGACCTTCAAGTCCATCCATCAGATATCACTTCTCCCGAATCCAGTTTCATACATGGGAAGGGCGCTAGCATGTACTTTGGAGCATCTGGAATCGCAGGCGAATTCAATGAATTTCTCATTCAAGCCATCGACATATTTGGGAACATTCAGGAGAGAGGTGGTAGCGAATATTTCTTCCACTTGATGGAATATCCTTGTTGCCTTTCAACGAACTTTGATCTCATCCCAGCGTGCTGTGCAGGGAACATGGGACCCAAGATTTCAGACATACCACCACAATGCAGTAATCTTTCCATGTCTCTTTATGGAATTGAGACCTGTTTAGAAGGCTGCACAAATACTTCTTGTATGGACAATCTTCATTGGAAGAGTTGTCCAGTAGACAACTGCTCAATCATAAGCACCAATCGCTTCGGATTTGTATATGGAAGCTTCAGAGACTGGGGGACTGGAAGCTATACACTCTCCTACCTTGTTACCACTGCAGCAAAATACATCTTAAGGGTTTACATGAATGTATCTAAAGATGGAAAGATCACCGCACAAGAGGTAGGTACATACAATCAAATTTCTTCTTCAGCTGGAGGTCTAAACCAGCTAAATACTTCCACCATGTCGACAGAATACTCTACTGAATCACATTCAAGCCCTCTTGTCATATCAGTTGCACCTGCTGCAACAAATTTTCCATCTTCAAGGGCTCGAGGCCAAGGCATATCTTTTGCGATTGCTGGTGTAAATACAAGTTTCTTTATAGATACACGAGACCGTTACGGAAATCTCAAAACTGATACAAAAGATAAGTGCTGGGAAATCAAGATCAGAAATTTCCAAAATACGGATCCCATCATTGTGAGTGATATTAGTGGTACCAGCGGCGGTTCGTATTTGGTGACCTATTTGATCACTGTTGCTGGTCAATATATCTTGTCCGTAGGATGCTACGGTGTTCACATCATGCAAAGTCCATTCCAAATAGAAGTAAAATCTGGTCCCTCTGGAATCACTTCATATCCGTTTGGCACGTCTCTCAATCAATCTAGAGCTGGCGATGTTTTTGAATTTTTTATCCAAGCAAAAGACGACTTTGGCAATGCTAAGACAGTGGCTGGTGATGAATTTCGAGTTCTGCTTATTCTCACAACAAGGAAGGTTCGGATCTCATCGAACGTCACAGACTTGGGACTCACAAATCTCAGTAGCTGGTCTACTTACGTAGGCTTGCAACCCGGAAAATACCTTGCAGAGGCGATGATAACAATATCTGGAATTTATGAAATGTGGATCTCTGTGCAGCCCAAAAGCTCTGAAGGAATATCTGCAAACTGTCTGGAAGACTGCTTGACACTTGACGGTCTCTCATGTTGCTTAAACATACAGAACAGTCCGTTTCCTCATGTAGTTCTGCCAGCATCCAGGTCGACTCAAGAAAGCATATTGATAACAAATGCATCAATATTTCTGCCTCCATCAGTTTGGACTGTTGGTTCAAATTTGACGATGCAAATTCAATCAAGAGACAGATTCGGAAACAATATAATAACGGAATCCATACTTGCCGACAATCGATTGGGAATAGTTTATTCATCCTTGAATTTTTCAGCCAAAGGGCCAGACAACAGCGCTCTTGTACCAAGAACCTACGTCGATCCTTGCAGAGAATATTATCAGGGTGTTTGCTCCCTGCGTGCTCCGACTGTGCGGCACGAGCCTTGGAACTTCTGGATCTCTGATCTCTGGGGGCCATATGATTTGGGCAACGGGCTGTCAGATATCATGATCTACGTGACGGTAGCGGGAAACTATGAATTATATGTCATGGACACAAACGGTTTGATGTTACAGAATGTACCATATTCAATTTACATGCAACCTGCCATAATTGCATATGAAAATTGCCTATTGATTTGTTCCGAATCATGTTCGGCTTGTACCGAAGATAACCTCAACAAGATCAGGTTTTGTGGCTCATCAGATTTGAAGAGTCCGACAGCTGGCGACACTTTTTCGTTCAAAATACAGACGAAGGACTATTTTGGAAATGATCTTACCTCAGGGAGTGCCAACTTCGTTATTCTTCTCTCAACTGTTTACTCGAGTCCGCCAAAAATATCTCACGGCAAATTTGGAATGAACACAGGTTCAGATCGAGTATTTGGATTTGAGAATATGACTGAAGCGTATGCCGTATCGAATTCAGATGGAACATATTCCGTATTTTCTTTTTCAGAAAAAAGTGGCGTTGCTTCTATGAGTATTAAAGGCTTCGACGGCGTTAGAGAGGTGTCCATCCTGGGAAGTCCATTCCAACTCTTGATTGAACCGTCAACAAGTCAAGCAAATAATACACTTGCAGATGGGGAAGGATTAATACACTCAACAGCTGGGATACTAACCACGTTTGTTGTACAAGCAAGAGACAAGTTTGGAAACTTTCGAAATAGAGGAGGAGATCACGTCGAAGTTTACGCTATGACAAATGATTTTCAATATAATGCTACGGTAATTGATTGCATGGACGGAAGTTACAACGTGTCGTACATCCTGACGAGAAGTACATCATACTCGATTCACGTCAAACTAAATGGTAAAGCCATTTGGAATCATCTGACAACAAGCTATGATCCATGGCAAGTCCAAATTTCTGCTGCACCAAGTTTTCCACCATATTGCTCACTTGTTGGAGAAGGAATTTATGGTGGAAGATTACTTGCGTTGATAACTTTTACTATTGTGACTCGTGATGAATTTTCGAATATCAGAACCAACGGTGGTTACGGAAGCATTGACCAGTTCAATATATTCCTGGTGGGCGTGGGGGGAGCCGCTGAATCAATGAATACAACAATTTTTCCTAATATATTTGATCCTCACGATGGACAATACTTGGCTTCTTACAGGACAACTGTAAGCGGGACATATAAATTGTATGCATACCTTGATTATAACTGCCCTCCTGGGTTCCAGAGCCAAGCAGACTGTGGCAATCGTCTTCAAGTACAAGGAACACCCACATATGCTTATCTTCTTGCAGATAATATTTCAGCCTCACTCTGCTATGCATTTGGCACAGGATTTCATCGTGGTACAGCTGGAAATAAAGAGACATTCTACATTCAAGGGATAGATATCAGAGGCAACAAAAAGACTCAAGGAAGTGAAATTTTTGTTATTACCATGACTGCAACCTTCGATCAGAAACTTTCCAATAGATTCATATCAAGTTCCATCAACGATGGCACTTTTGCTGCTTCTTACAATTTCACTACTTCAGGGGATTTTTCGATAATCATAACTTTAGCAGGAATCCACATCTCAAATTCCCCTTCAATTGTCAAGGTAGACCCAGCTGAGATCTTTCCACCGAATAGCAGAATGTTTGGAAATGGCCTGTCGTTAGCCACTGTGGGATTGGATTCAACCTTCTCACTTCTTTGCAAAGACAAATTCGGTAATTTGAACGATCTTTATGTGCAGTATCCTGATTCGGTATTGCAATGCAACACATCTTTTGAGGTTTTGGAATATCGGTATCCCAGATGGAAGATAATCAATTCATGCAATTACACCCTGCATGTTTCGGCAAAACCAAATCAACGTGGACTTTATCAAATGACTTTCATGTCCACCAGAAGCGGCGAATTTCTTCTTCAGATAACATTTCAGGGTGCTCATTTAAGTGGAAGTCCATATTCACCAGTAAAGATCACCACACAAGCATTCGATGCGCAATATAGCACTGTTGTTGGCCTGGTGCCTGCCTATGCAGACGATTGGTATGCAGATGTCAGTGGGATCATGGTTGTAGTAAGACCCAGCTTTGTCGTGGTTCCTCAAGATGTATATGGCAATCATCGCCCATGTCCAAATCAATGTGTCATGAAAGTGGTTGTATATCAAAATTCAACGCAGGCTTTGATTCAAGACAACAGTGCTGTTTCTTTGGCGTCCAATCCATTGGACGTTTTTACAATCATGCTTCTTGCAACAATTCAGGGGAACTATATTGTGTCTATCACCATAGATTTCAAGCATATTTTGGGAAGTCCCTTCAATATTTTCTTGAGTCCCGGTAGAGCATTTCCATTGAAAGTAACCACAGAGGGATCAGGATTATATTCGCCTCAAAACAATTTGATCGCCAGGGCTGATGACTTATATGCAATTTCCAAATTGACAGCATACGACAGATATTCTAACCGCAAAACTGTAGGAGGTGAAACTTTCAATGTTGTGATAACGCACATATCGAATAGAAATTTGAGACTACCCTCAAAATTAGTAGACCATGCTGATGGCACGTACTCATTGTTTTATAATTGTACAAGAGCTGGAAATTATACAATATGGATAATGATGGACATATTTCATGTTGCTAACAGCCCTTTTCTTCCGACAGTTTATCCTGGTGTAACCAATACCAGAATGACTATCGCATTGGGAAGATCATTACAAGCTGCGGAGGTAGATTCTCTCACAACGTTCGTGATTCAAGCCCGAGATCAATTTGCCAATGATCAAATAGGTTGTGGCGATTTGTTTGATATAGAGGTGTACGGTGGCCCACTATCACAACAACCCTCGTACATTTGCGATGGAAATGAAAATGGTCTGGCAGCGATGTCTATCTTTGATCCAACTGACCTCGGAAATGGTAAGTACCGAGTATCTTTCATAGCAAGTGAAATTCAAAGGTACAGTATTTGGATTATGCAAAACGGCATCCACATTCATGGAAGTCCTTTTTCTACACAGATGTTCGAAGCTTCTCGAATTCCTGAACCAAGTCAGTGCTTTGCTGCCGGTGACGGACTCACTGGAATCATTGCAGGAGTCACAGGAACGTTTACAATACAAGCAAGGAATATTTTTGGAATCGATCTCACTGCTGGCAATATCGATTTTAAGGTTTCAGTACAATCCTCTACCGGTGTGTACCTGATCGCGTCAAACGCAATAATTTCGTACATAGGAGCATGCAAAACTCCACCAACTCAGCCTTGCGGACTTGGACTGTATGCGGGTCGCTTCAATGTAACTGTGAGTGGAATCTATCAGCTGTACGTCACATTGCAGTCGCAAAATGTGTTGAATAGTCCGTTTCAGATCAACGTCCTGTCAAATAGATCAAATGCAAACATGACATATGCTTCCGGAGATGGCTTGAATGCGGTCGAGGCCGGAAGGTTAGCTAATGTGTTTATCACTCTTATGGATTCTTTCAAGAACCTTCAGACAAACCCAGCGTTTTCAAACGATTTTGTGGGATGTGTCCTAAACCATCAAAGTTTAAATGTGAGCAAAACTTCCCTTGCTGTTTCCATCTGCCAATACTCAATTACAAAATCTGGTCAGTACAAATTGGAAATATATTTGAACCAAATCCCCATAAAAATGAGTCCTATCAACATCATTATAGTTTCTTCTTGGCCATTTTCTGGAACCTCTTTGATACTCGTAAATTCTTCGTCAATAACGACTGTATCTGGAACAACGAACAAGCTCGACGTTATTTTGGGTGATCAATATGGCAATACAATTCTCCGTGGAGGTTATCTCAAACCACAAAATATCACTATCAGGTTTAGCGACGTATGTGCCATCCAATGGTTACCAGATGTCTGTCACCTTCATTCCGGGTACATTCAAGATGTTCTTGACTATCAGAATGGAACCTATAGTGTACTGTACACAGCAACAGCCAGCGGACTTTACACCTTGTCTGTGAAAGTAGGGAATTTTGACATTTTGAAAAGTCCTGTATCATTATCAGTCAAGCCTGCTGCAATAAATCCTTCATCAAGCTATGCATATTGCTCGGGAAACTCGACAACTTGTGGACTGTATTTTGCAGTTGCAGGAACACCTACAAATTTTTTTGTGCAAGCAGTGGACAGGTATGGAAACAGGATCTCGATCGGTGGCGATGAAATTCGTGCCATAGTCAAGAGTTCCAGGTATTTTTTCGCAGGATTTCAAGACATGAAAAATGGAAGTTATAATTTTTCCTACATGATTACGCAAAGTGCTCTTTTCATGATTGACATTGCTGTCATAAAAGTGCAAGGTGTTTTGCTTCCCTTGCCTTTACCTGTCAAAAATAGCCCTGCACAAGTTCTTGCGTTTCCTGCAGAAATCCCTTCTGCAAGTCAATGTGTTGTATATGGCAATGGCTTATTAAATGGAACTGTGGGAACACAAAGTACCTTTATCATTGAAGCCAGAGATGTCTATGGAAATCGCAAGACAAAAGGGGGTGACTCGTTTTACGTGGTTTTGGCGTTGAACCCAAAACCTCTTGATAGCCCATACTACTTTGCAGACTTGATTGACCGTAGGGAGGGAACATACCGTGCAAGCTACACTCTCACTCGGTCGGGAAAATACTCCCTACAAATAGCGTATAGAAAAAGGGATTTTCCATTTGATTTGGATCCTTTGAATGGCAGCCCACTCAGTATCTGGATGGCTCCCACTTCAACTGATGCAACCAATACATATCCTGCTGGAGACGCCCTTTCTGTTTGCACTGCAGGCATTTTTGGTGTATTCAAAATTGTTATGAAAGATAAATTTGGGAATATTCAGCTATTTGGTAGTGATATTGCAAGCTTTGTCCTGAGCGGTCCAGCAATAATTGAAGGAAGCACCCAGAACAGCTCTTTAGGAAACGGGATGTTGCTGGGACAATACTTTGCTACTGTCACAGGCAATTACGTTTTAGAGATCAAATTAAATGGAGATTTCATTCGGGGAGGAAGATTCAAGGTAAGGCTTCTTCCAGCAGAAATATGTGCATTTCAATCTGAAGCCGATGGAAATGGCCTCGTCAGTGATATATATGTGGATGATCGTGTTTCATTTGAAATTTCTGCCCGAGATATTTACGCCAACGATCGAACCATAGGGGGAGATAGTGTTGTCGCGAAGGTTTACAAGTATATTGATGAATATGCAACTCCAATCTTGCTTGAATATGATTCGACATTTTTTGACAGCCAAAATGGAAAATACCTTGTCACATATTTCGTTACGCAAGGAGGACAATTTCGAATTTTTGTCATGGTTGGTGAAAACCATATTCGAAATAGTCCGTTTAATGTCACATTTCATCCAGGACAACCTTATCCACAAGCGTGTACAGTGAGTGGAGATGGCATCAAAGGAGGCTTGGTTCACGACGTTTTGAGCTTTTCCATCACAGAACGAGATCAATATTCGAACCAAAGGACTCTTGGTGGCAATGGTAATATCATTTCAATCTTCTTCAATGTAGAGAATCCATCAGACATCTTGCAAGGGGACATTCAAGATAACATGGATGGTACCTACCGGTTTCAATATACTGCAAATTCTATTGGAACAATCGGGATTTCAGTTTTGTATGCTAATGTGCATGTATATCAGAGTCCTTTCAGGGTAATTATAAAAGAGAAAGCTGATCTGCCGGTAGCTTCAATGACAACAGCCAATGGACCAGGGCTGGGTGGAAGCATTGCAGGATGCCCAAGTCTGACTGCAACGACCTGTCCTATGTCAGCAGGTGAAATTTATGTAACCTTACGAGACAGGGATAATGTAAGGATAAATTATCTTCTTGAAGGCCTGCTATTGATCGCATCCTGGACCTCGCCAAGTGGAACCATCACATCCACGTACTTTAGAGATGGCCAGTGGCTAGTAAGCTACAAAACTACAGTGGCAGGAACTTACAGTATTGCAATCAACTTGAATGGCAGCCAGATTTCAAACAGTCCATTTCAGATCTTCGTAAACGCAGCCGATGCCCTTCCTTCAATCACTCGAGCAAGGATTCCATATTCCAGTATCTGTACAGCAGGAGCTTTGGGATCGATGGTAGTTGAGGCTAAAGACTTATATGGAAACATCAAAGTATATGATCTGGTGAAACCTACAGATAGTGTATCTGGCACATTTTCAGGACCTGATGTTTTCCAGGCTACCACTTTTCTTGAGAAGTCATCTGGACTATTTACCTTGCAATGGGTTGCTAAAACAAGCGGGACGTACAACCTGACAGTCAACCTCAACGGCAACGAAATATGGGGAAGTCCATATGTGGTTGTTGTGTTGCCCGGAGAGATGGTATCATTCAATACACAGACTTACGGCATCGGGAAAGACTTGGCAACTGCGGGTCTCCTTGCCTCATTTCTAATACAAATACGAGATCAATTCGACAATCCAACAGTACCTTCCGAACCATCAGATGTTGCAACTTTTTACGCATTCCTAGAAAGTCGGGGTCTGACCGAGAAATCTGCAGTTTTCCCCAGTTGTAGGGAAAATGTGACTTGTTTCGGTCACGGTCAATGCATACAACAGTCTGGTTCCAGTCAAGGGTGCCAATGTCAAGACGGGTTTGATGGCTCCAATTGTAACATATGTTCACCAAATTGGTATGGACCTGACTGTAAGACATTCGGCTGGCCATGCGATAATTGTGGTGGACGAGGATTCTGTTCGGACGGTGGAACTACATGCAATTGCGGAAAGAATTTCATTGGAGCGAAGTGCGAGGGGTGCGCACCAGGATTCTATGGAACCGGTTGTGATAAGTTTTGTGATGATTTTATAACTTGTGGAGGAAGGGGATATTGTAACAAGAACGGCGACTGTGTTCTACAAAAAATTCATGCTGTCCTCCGAAGATCTGAGTCCGAATCTCAACTTATCGCCGAATACAATGCAACCATATCAGGCAGTTATGCTTTATTTGTGCTGTATGGGCAATGTTCCTTCGAAACTGAACTACCTGATCAATGCGTTGGAGCCATGCACGCAAAAGGAAGTCCTTACACAGTTACAGTAGTTCCAACAATCTTCAGCGCAGAAAATTCAGAGGTAATTGGTGATGGTTTGAGCATTTCCACCTCTGGTGTCCTCGCTACTTTTATAGTGAGGTCGCGCGATACCTTTGGAAACCTTCGATCCAAGGGAGGTGAGTCGTTAAGAATTTTGCTAATAGGAACACAGACTTTGAAAATCTCCTATACTGATAATTTGGATGGACAGTATAATGCCTCCTACGTCCCTATATTAGCTGGTGATTACTTGATTTATATCAGATACGGAAACCTCTTAGTGGGTCGTCAATCAAATTCTGGAGGTCAGATCATACCAGATTACCAAGTGCATGTATTTGCTGGAAACATTTCAGGCTTGAATTGTACTGCAAGAAGCCTTACCATAATCAAAGTTGGAAATCCTATAATTGTGTCAATTCAGGCCCGCGATTTTTACGGATCTGCACGTGAAGTTGGTGGAGATAGGTTTATTGTGCACATGTTTTTTGATACTTCAAATAGGACATCCACTGCTGTCGACGATGGGAGTGGAAAGTATTCTGACAGCTTTTACCCACTTGATACAGGAAGATTTGAAATACAAATATTTTTCGTGACCACTGAGGATAATCTTATCCAAGTTTCGGGAAGTCCCATCCTAGGTAACGTAATAGCTGGAGATCCTGATATAAACATGTCTTTTGTTTCTTTGTCTGGCGCAACAGAAGGATCTTGTTTGGCATCAAAAGTTTGGGACATCAATGTTGGGCAATCGTTCAGTATGTATGTGATCTATGTCGATCAAGGTCAAAATTTGATCAAAATAATGCCCGATTTTGTGCCTCCAACAATTTCTTTCAAGCAGACTCTCTGTTCATTTTGCAACTGCAATTCAACGGTGCCAAATGCTTCCCTGTCTAAAGCGTTTACAAGGGCTCCATCTTCAAAATATATCATTTTTGATTGGAAATTTACTCGTTCAGGCATATATCATGTTGATATTACGATTCATTCTGCGCATATATTCCAAAATGTAGAAGGGAAAGCTTGTAACAGTACAAAAGTAATAAGTCAAAATATTCCTGGAAGTCTTACTACATGTGACTTGATGAGAAGTCCTTTCACATTTCGAGTCCAGGCTTCGCGAATCCAAGCAGATCACTCTACAGCAAACGGCGGCGGTCTAGCAGACTATATATTAGGGGACACTGCACAAGAGCGAGCATTCTATATCTATCCACGCGATGCTTATGGCAATCAACCAGATCAACAGCAGATGGAAGACCAGCTCAACAGCGTCGAGGTGTCGTTGATATGGCCTAGTTCTATTAGCATGTGTTCTCTTTCTGTACAGAGTACAGAATACACATGTACGTACGTGACAACGACTGCTGGCAGTTACATGGTTCGTGTACTGGTAAGCTCTGTTGAGATATCTGACAGCCCTTTTCATTTTTTGGTCGAACCTGGCGAACCTTTTCAAAACACCACATCAATCGACCTGCAGGAGGGCCAAGGATATCTCCTTGGGACAGCGGTTACCATTCTCATCACGATCCGAGACAAGTATTGGAATCTCAGGTCTACGAACTTTGATTCGGTTCGTCGACTAGAGAATAATGCATATGGAGACGATAAAATGATAGTTTTTCAGAACTACTTCACAACTGTTTGCAATGGATCGTCATGTATGAGAGTTTCTGGTACAGACTTTGTCTTCATGGACATGGACTCTCGCGGAACTAAGTACACTGTGTCCAAAGTGTCCTCGAGTGGGGAATACTCATTATCATTCAGACCTAGTGGGGCCAATAGAAGTACTTTCAATCTTCTAATTTGCGATCGTCTATGTTGTGAAAATGAAACGAAATGCCCTGTTCTTGATGTTTGTAAACAGAAAGGCGATTGTGAACAAGCATTTTGCTTTGTGGCTACAAGTCTTCAAAGTCGGATCCACCATCCCTGCAAGGGAATGAAAGACTCAAAAAATAATTACAGTCCATTTACCCTCTTCCCATTCACCACCTATGGGGGAACGAGAGCAGCAACTTCGATAGCCTTGGGAAGTGATATCATAAGTACGGGATCAACGCCATACATAATGCACACCGCAGGAAATCCAGTCACATTTACTATCAGAGCTATGGATGAATTTGGAGTCCAGGCAAGTTCAGGTGGTGATAAGTGGCTCATTACAATCGTTAGATATGATACAACTAGTGGAGATGCGATCTCAACCAACATTCTTTCCACCATTACTGACAATGGTAATGGACTGTATGATTGCAAATATGTCATGACACTCTCTGGTCCATACTTTTTGGAAATCAAACATGCAGATATTGACAATCGAACTGGAATTGTAAGAGCTCCCATGCAAATCAAAAATAGTCCGTTCTTTAATCTGGTATCTCTTCCGAATTCCACGCAAGCTGATAAAAGTACATTGCAAATAGTTACCTTGTTCACATGTGGGATTTCATCAACATTTCTCCTACAGACCTACGACACGTTTGACAACAAGCAGTTGTATGCTTCCACTTCTCTCCCACAAAGTATAAATAAATACAAAGATTACATCTCCGCTAGATTTGTTTTGGGCGAGGTGTTTGTGACAGCCTCAATCAAAAATTATCCGGTATGTGCTCCCAACCCCATTTTGAGCGCTGATATTCTTTGTACGCCATTTGTTTTGGAGGGATTAATCACAGTATCTGGAAATTATAAACTGATCATCGAGGTGAATATGCAAGTTATCTCTAAGATCGACTTTTCAATCCAAGTATCACCAGGATTACCAAACCCCCAATCCTTCTTGCTCAGCGGCACGGGCATACAGCAATCTGTAGCTGGTGTGATTTCTACATTTTCGCTGAGATTGTTAGATTCGTTTTCCAATCGTGTATTCATATCGGTGGCTGTAGCTTCAGCAAAAATTGTTGGATCCATCAATGGTGGGTCCTACTCTTGCTACCGGGCAGATGACAGTCTCTGCGTAGACCCAACTCCAATCTCCACGTCACTGAGCATTTCTCCCTCACAGCCTGCAAACTTTCTGGAAACTGAGACAAAGTATAGTGATTGGATACTGACGTACAATTGTACTAGGGCAGGTAACCATTCGTTGCAAATGTGGTACGATAATGCAGGAATTTCTAATTCTCCATTTACACTAGAGGTGTTAAATAACGTAGTGGATTCGAAAATTTCATCAGTTATGCGATTTGAAACATCTGACATTCAGAGTGGATCTAATCAACATTTCTATGTGTACACCCGAGATTTGTATGGAAATCTTGTAACAAACTTCTACGGCACATTCAGTGTTTTATTGTTTGGTCCATCTTCCATGACAGGGACCTTGTCATCCACTGCTGAATTTGGCATTTTTGGGTGTTCACTCACGCCAACTGTGAGTGGATCTTACCGTCTTACTGTGAAGCTGATTGATTCTCACATAAGCGGTAGTCCAATGAATTTGACTGTGATTGCAGGAATGGCGAGTGCGCCTCGTTGTTCTATCGTAACCTCCCCAGGTGTTGGAACAGTGGGTATTGCATCCTCAATATATTTTCAGGCACATGATTCCTACAACAATAAAATTTTGACGGGTGGAGACATATTTTTGGCTGAAATCACGGATCCTAAATTTGCACGTACGATCGTTGTGCCAGCCGATTTGAACGATGGTATGTACAGACTGACCTTTGCCTCAAGTGTAACAGGACGACACAATGTTACCATCACTCTAGGAGGCTCGCATATATTTGGAAGTCCCTTAAGCATGCTGATCGACTCAGGAGCACTTGATTTGGGTCAAACGTTGATAGTATTTCGATCGACAACCGAAGCTGGAACTCCTCTTCGAATATCAGTCCTTCCAAGGGATGCTTATGCAAACGAGAAGTCTCAAGCAGATCTGATGCTTTACTTGCTTACACTTGTGACTTCGATTCAATTAGAATTCAATTCCAACGCAGTCTTCTATGAATATCCTGACAGCAAGTACTCGTACGACGGCTATGTCACATATACCCGCTCAGGACAGTATACCGTCCAATTAAAAGCACTTCAAGTCAATTCTGCCGGTATTTCAGAGATGCAGGAGTTGTCGAGTTCCCCGATTCTCATCACATGCAACCCATCTCTTCCAAATGAAACAAAATCGTTTGCTTTTGGGCAAGGAACCTCAAGGTACTGCATGCCAACTGTACCTGATGTTCTCTGACTTTTTTCCCAGGTTAATAGCAGGTCGAAATGGATCATTTACAATTGTTGCAAAAGATGAATACTCAAACAATCTTACACGAGGAGGTGACCCTTTCATTTTCTGGTTGATTTACACGAATCCAGTAATCCGAATGAATCAGACTGTCCATGACTTACAGAATGGGTTATATCAATCCTACTTTGTATTGACAGCAGCCGGAATCTACAATGTTGAAATTCGACTTGCAGGAAGTCATATTTCTGGGTCTCCATTCACTGTTCTTGTCGACCCAGCTTCAGTTGATCCATGGAAGACAATTCTCTATGGATCGGGTGTATATGGCGTATCCCTGGGGAAGGAATCCTACTTTGATGTTCAATTGTCTGATGGATATGGAAATGCCGTCAAAGGCTCGAAAGGCGACGTAGAGACACTACTGGATGATTCAAAATCCATTTCCCTTCCCTCGTCTTCAGTTCAACCTAATGGCATGATTCGGTGTACATTCTCCGGCCTGATATTAGGCAACTATAGACTTTACATATATGTGTACAACATCAGTATCCCATCAAATCCAATCTCAGGTCTGGTGGTCCTTGGTCCAGGAAATCCGAGCCCGGCTAATAGTATATTTACAGCTGGACAAACTTTCACGTTCACAGCAGGAATAGAAAAAATGTTCATTTTGGAACTGAGGGATTCCTTGGGCATCAAGATAGACAATGGAAATTACATATCTTCCATCTCGTTGGAGTTTGATGTATCTCCAGGATATTCTCTTCCACAACTGATCAAAGAGCCATTACCCAACGAAGATGGAACTTATAATATTTGGATTCCGTCTTCTTTGACTCGAGCAGGGGATTACCGACTGCGGGTATATATTTCAAACGGTGAGATGAATAGAAGCCCATTCAATTTGACCGTACTATCAACAGCAGCAGACGCACAAGCCTGTAGAGTGCGTCCTATGGCTCTTGGGGGTGTATACACCTTGTCCACAGCCGGGGTTACCGGTCAATTCCTGCTTGACATATTCGACAGTTTTGGGAACACAGTTCGCTACGATCCTACGATAGATATAGGTCTGAAAGCCAAGATGATCGGTCCTGCACAAACCTTAATCAAAACGATCAACTTTTATTCAGGACTTTGGGAAATCGATTATGTCGGGACACGTAGCGGAGAGTATCAGATGGAAATAACGATTGCCGACTTGCATGTACGACAATCACCCTTCGTCATCACTGTGCAGCATGCGGAGATTAATCCATCCAGTTCTTTGGTCAACCTGACTCAACTTCTCACAGCTGGGACGATGCATGTGTTCTCAATTCAAAGCAAGGACGCGTATGATAATGAGGTCGATACCAATGGTGCACCCATTCTTGCTGTTTCTATAGCTGATCCGCAGTTCTTTTCTGTATCAGATATCTCTCGCATTCAGCCAACCAGCGCAACGGTCAAATATCGTGCACGGGGTCTTTATCAAGGAACGCTTACCATGACGAAAAGTGGTAGTTTCCTGTTCAATATTCAGTACAATTCAATACATTTACAAGGAAGCCCTTTTGGAATTACCGTGAACCCTTCACATATTGAAGGTGGTATGTGTGTTTCTATTGGCAGCGGGATACAAGCAGCAATCAGCGGCGAAATAGCCACCTTCACAATACTTGCTTACGACCGCTTTAGCAACAAGTTCATCGCAGGAGGAGAGAAGTTTGAAAGCACTCTACGGCCATCCAATTGCATAGACCAGGGTTGTAATGTATTAGATACTGTGAAAGTCTATGACCAAAATGATGGCTCTTACTTGGGTTTCTATCAGGCTGGGAACCCAGGTGAATATCTAATGACAATTCAAGTCAACATGAAGGGACTAAAGGGATCCCCCTACCGCATCCAGATTGGAAGCCCGTACCCACCAATTCCATCGGTATCATGGATGTCAGGAACAGGAGGGGAAATCGAGGTTGAATTTGACATTGCAACTGACATGGGGGGAATTTCTGGCTCTGTCACATGTGACTTTTTCTTTCAAAAAATTACCTCAGACAAGTTTGGGACAGACTGTACTTCATTTTGGTCAACACCAAGAACTTTGATGGTGCGCCTGGGGGCAGGTGCCACGATCCTTCCGGGAAATGACTTGAATCTTGCATCGGACCGAATCAGAAATAAAAGACAAACTTCATATTTTACCAGTGGCAGTGTGAGATTACAGGCGCCATTGCAGCCGTTGACACCCATACTAATCATTGATGGGCCCTCGTTTATTAGCTCATGTGATATTCTTGTACTCGACGCGAGGATGTCTCAGGGGGGGGGGGGGAGAAATCTGAATTTTCAATGGGGAATCATTCCAGGTGGAGATATTGAACAATTGTTAATGGCATCTATACAGGAGCAGAACATAAACGTCCTATGCCCTGATTGGGTCGATCCGTTGTCTAAGAGCATCTGTCAAGCACCTATCCTACAACTTGATCCGAAAATAATGGCTGACGGTGGTGAATATACCTTTTTGCTTACTGCCACAAATTTTTTCGATCAAATATCAACAGTACAGCACAGAGTCACCAAGGTGCCCAATGATGGAATGCCAATACTTTCGATCCAAGGTGAATCCACCCTCAGTGTAAACCCAGACGAAGACAATACAATCCGTTTATCTGTACAGTCATCAAGCTGCGGCAGCAATAATCTATCCTTTGCATGGACTCTTGTTTCTGCTTCAGGTATAGTTCTGCTCAAGAATATAGATCTGAATCAAAGGAGACTTTTCATCCCCAAGAATTCTCTTCAAGGAGGATCACAGTACACATTTATGGCGGAACTGAGCAGTCACCAATTCAATGAAACTATGACTACAAATACAACAATTCTGATAATCACGTCCGAGATATCTGCGATTGCTGCCATTTCTGGTGGAAGTCGTACATCATCTGTTGCAGATTTGAGCACTTTTTCTCTACAACTATTTGGAAACATAGCCTACGAATCAGTTTCAAGAATTGAATGGTATTGCGAGCCATCACCGTGCTTCTTAGATGTCTACAACAGTATTTCTGTAGATGGACGAACATTTGCAATAGCACCCTTTTCGATTCTACCAGGCTTGTACAGACTGATTGCAGCCGTGACAATGCAGCAGGGAAGTATCTCGGTGCGTTTCTCCGCTGCTGCTAATGTCTTTGTGATCCCTTCAAGTCTGTCTGCCGTTTCCATATTCTCATCGGCCATGAAATTCAACTCCAAGCAAACCGTGAATCTGATTGGCTCCCCTCAGAGCTACATTGACAAGACATTAAATTACGAATGGTTTCAGTCTCGTGGAGGACAGAATTTGCTTAGTGACAAAATCACAAGTATTTCAAGCAGATTTTCGGATACACTTGGTTTTGCCAAAAATGCCTTGATGGAGGGTATGCAATATCGATACCGGCTCGAAGTTTGGAATCAAAATGGATTTGGATTTGCTGAGATCGACATTGCTGTAAGCAAGGCGCCCTCAGGAGGAACTTTTGAAGTGAATCCATCGAAAGGGTTTGCTGTTGATACTAATTTTGAATTAAGTGTGTCGCGTTGGACAGACTCTCCAGAGAATCTGCCGTTGTCATATCTTTTCAGCTATGTGTTAGATGTTGAAGATAGCACAAGTACAGCCGTCCCTTTCATCTACACCGACAAACCTTTTCAAAATGTGAGGATTCCGAATACAAACAAAGCAGTGCGCAATTCTTCCTTGATAGTACAGATTTTTAATATGGCTCATAGCGGAACAACTATCAACAGAACAGTCGAACTGAAAACGCCTCTAGATCCTTTTAGTTCAGCTGCAACCCTCCGCTCCCTGATTGAAATTTCTTCATTGGCTCAAGATTTTGATAGCTTGATCATTCTGTCTTCGTGCTTAAGCAGTTTGCTAGAGACTTCATTAAGTCCTACGAGAAGAGACCAATCTACATTTTTCTGTCCAAACGATGGGACAAGTTGTGATAATGACGAGATCAGGAGCTTTCTCTTCCAGAAGGTGAAATCTTCATTGCAATACATCAAACCTGTTGCAGACGAAATATCTATGCTTGCCAATTCGATTCAGAAAACGACCACTGCTCGGATGAATCGTACAAGTCAGATGCTGAGTTTATTGCTAACACAACAAGTCATTCAAGTTGGAGTCGAGCAAACTTCTCTTGGTCAGTTTGGTACGGATGCAGTGATTGAGACCTTCAGTCAGCTCCTACTAGCAAACAACTACACCGTTGATTTTGCTTCGATGAATCAAAGCGAGCGAACAGCACAAGCCATTTCAGGCTCATTGGATCTTATTCTGAATTATACCTCATCTCAAATGTTTGTCGGGCAAATCCCTACGCGATCAATCGGAAGTCATCTGCAGTTTTTCGTCGCAAAAACCAGAGGTATAAATGCAACGTGGTCATTAAACGTTTTGTCAAATCAAAATCTCGCTTCAGGCGCGTTGAATACTTTGATTACGATCCCGAGTGACATAGTGGACAATGCGACTGCAGATTTGCTAGCAAGCGTGGACACTAGATTCGTGCAATGGGGCAGTAATCCACATCCAACACTGGAATTATCCCTCGGAAGCAACGTCCTTGGAGTAAAACTGGCACTCACTTTTGCGGATCAAAGCTCCGTTGAGCAAAAAAGCATAAAAGAACCGATTCAGATCGTTTTCGCAAAGACAATAGGCGAGCGGACTTTTGATATCTTCGATCGTTGTAGATATTGGGACGCTCAAGGTCAAGTGTACTCAAGAACTGGAACCATTGCAAGCAATACAACGCAAGGCTCTGTAGCTTGTCAAGTATACCATATGACGGATTTTTCTTCAGTATTGCTCAGAGACATTGCAAGTCTCGATAAGATCTTGAACATCGAAAATCCGAATCCTTTCGTGAGGTGGACTCCTGATCGGACAGTTGCTGTCGTTACTTTGCTGGTGTTGTACGTTATCTATGCAATTTCATGCTATATTGGGCGAAGAATAGACAAAGCATCCTTGAGAATCCTTTCCTCGAAATTGCAGGAGAAGACCGCAGATCCAAGGTATTCCATGCACCGTACCATGGAAGAGTTTAATCGCGCAAGAGATTATGTGATGATCAAGTCCATCTTAAAGCAAAGAATGGCAACAAGATACAGATCATGGAAAATTCAAACTCTGCAACTTTTGAAGACTGAGCACGTGTTAGGGGGAATTTTCTTTCGACCTGTTTACAGCTCTTTCACGAGACCCCGACGAATCACTTCGCTATTTGTTATGTTCTTTGGAAACCTCGCATTAAACATCCTATTTCTTGGTCAGGGTGCCTTTGATACAACATCGCGTGTGAGTGCAGGAATCGTCTCTGCCCTAATCGTCCTACCCATTGCAATTGTTTTTGTGTCAGCATTTAAATCAATCGATAGCGACGACACATGGCAGATGCATCGAAGGCGTCGAGTGCGTCGAGTGCAGGAATCAGTTGTGCTAAAAGAAGTAGGTAGAATGCTTGATGGCGTTGAAGACACATCCACAGCGGCACCGGATGTCAAAGGATTGGAGGACCCTTCATCTGTGGCTCCTCCATTGCCCACGAGTGTACGTCCGGAGTTCATACGAAAGGCTTCAAGATCCAGTGGCTCACCGTCAACCCAGCCAGGCGCCCCTGAAGATGTACAGGTGAAACAGCAGCAAAAGGGAAAAGCTACCACGAGCGAGCGCTTCTTTCGCCGTAACTTGCAAGCGATCACTCCTGAACTCATAGCGGGGACATCTGCAGAACTAAGCCACCTTCCCGAGTCCGACCAGGGAAAAATTCAGCATCGACCACAAAATGCTGGAAATGATTCGGCCCCTAACCCTCCTCCTCCTCCAAAGGGGCAAAACCCACGGCCAGCCTTCGGGCGGGCCCAACGACCATCAAGCAATCAACCAATCATTATGAGCGTCAGGCCGTCTCCCCGTCAAACATTCAGACCTGTCAAGATGTCAAATGCTCTGGAATCCAACAAGAGCAGGAATGCTCTAGCACTACCAGGGCTGCAGTCTGAGAATCGGCAGTCAGCGAGTAATCAAAAATTCCCTTCCATTCCCGCCCCTCCTCCTCGAACACTTGCAGGCTCGCGGAATAGGCCATCGTTGACATCCAACAGGAGCATCTCGACAAGAAACCTTCCTCGGCGCTTGTTCCCTCTCAATTCAGCAGTGAGGATGGGAGTACGAGGAGAATCCTCAAACCTTTCAAACCTAAAAAGAGGTGGCAACGTGAGGATGACAGGCTCCAGGAGGAATCAAATCCCTTCCTCGGAGACGCTTCCACTACCAACCGATGCCTATGGGCCTCTAAGCCCAATCGAAGAGGGTGATGAAGAGCGACGTGAAACAGCAACTTTACCAACTCGTGTCAAACCAGCACGACTGCTTGCACAACGGAGGCTAGATTGGTTGCGAAAACAACTCCTGGACAAATCGCAGGCTCGTGTCAACGACCTTCAGCTTTTGCTACCACCGAAATTCTCTGTAGCAGTTTACATTCTGGCGATGTTATGGATGCTGCTGTGCTCGTACTTCATTGTCATCCATGGGATTCGATTCTCACCCCAAATGGAGGAGGCTTGGCTGGTCGCTTTTGTCGTCTCAGTAATCCAAGATATCCTCATACAACAGGTATTGGTCATCGTTTTCAAATCTACTTTCCAGAAAGTTCTGCTTCCAGCAGCTCTGAAGAACGTCGTTTAAGTGATCGAGTCAGATTGAGCTAGTCGCAACACGCAAGGTGATGTTTTCCTGTCAACTTGCAGTGAGGCCTCCCTAAACTTAGCCTAAGAGAGATCAGTAGCTTTATTTCAACTAAGTAAAATCAATAATTCTGTAATACTAAAAGATGATGGACTGCTAAACAGGTGCTACAAAGGTCCTGATGTTCCACATCATGTGGACAGCAATAGGGACGATCAGATTCCCAGTTCGGAAGTAGAGGAGAGACCACAGGTAACCCATCAGATAAAGATGTGCAAAGGCGCGCGGATTCATATGATTCAAGGCAAACACCAAGCTTGCCAAGTCTGTAGCAGTTGACAACGGCATCATGTGACTGAATGATTGCAACAAGTAGCCGCGGTACAAAATCTCTTCCCATATCGGACCTGTGAAGCAAGGCCCGATGCCTCCAACCACTCGAGCAATGAGGTCATCTCCTTCTGGTCGTTTCAACTTGTCCACAACGGTCTCTGTCGCGCTCTCCGGAAGCGATTGCATCATATCATAGAAATTCCTCAAAATAGGAAGATTGAGAGACGAGAGAAATGTTCCCATGAGAAGCCCGAACGACGAAACAAAGCACGTGATCAAGTAGCCTACAATTATGCTAACAAATGTGATGTGATTGGGTCTTTCGATTCGGAACCAATCCTTCGACGAGAAGAAGTTCTTCGTCCTGTTCTGGAGGATGAGACTTCCAGTGAAGACCCAGAACAAGTGCGAGAGGAGCACTTGCAGGGCACGTGAGAACCCGATGGTTATCGGCACATCCAAGATAGAAAGAGCACAGAGAAGGATGTCAATGAACTGACTCAGATACGAAGAGCTCAGGTAGGCCATGCCCAAAAGGATGTAGGTCTCCGTGGTGTGGGATTTGCTTTGCGACGTGGCTGTGCTCGGCAACTTATCTTCATCAGTAACTGAGAGAGCAAGGTTTGCAACACCCTTATCAGATCTCCGAGATCCATAAAGAACTAAACCTAGCAGTGTGATGCCCCCAACGATCACTTCGCCAGACACACTTGGTCCCTTGGGTCCGAGGGGAGAAAATGAGCTTGGAGACACAAATTTCACATGTAGAGCAAACGCTATGATTGCACCCAACGCTGCACCGAGAGTCTTTAGTGACACTGGAAAAACTGCTGAGGATCGCTTGCCATCACTGCTAGCTCGGATCTTAGTCCTGATGCTCTGCACGATTCTATGACCAACCCACGGACGCATGTATGTCTGAGATCTTGGGTGCAGAGGCATGGAGGCAAGCCGTGATCGGCTGTTGACCCTTGTTATGAATTGAGGGGAGAAAGCATCGATAATCCCCCAGCAGGCTGCCACCAGCAGCATCCCCAGCTTCCTCCTCCATTGCCGACGACGGCCTCCGTGCATTGTCCCGACAAATTCGAGTGTGAACCGGTAAACTGGGTGACCACCGGCTGCCGGAGGCTGCGCCGCTCCAGGCCGGGCTGCCAAACAGAAGATTTCGGATCATCGCGCAAGTTATGGCACCCAGGCCTTTCTTCCCTTCACTGCAGGTACGGATGGTCTTCTTCATGCTGACGCTGAAGAAGATTTTCTTTCATACAGGGCTGTTTGATGTGCAGCTAGAGAGTGAACCGAGGCTCATAACCGACGGAGCACAAGTTTGTTAGAATGGTACTGTGCCAAAGTAATGCAGACATCCGATATCGACCTCAGCTGCAACAAGACAGTTTTTGCTCAAGACTGAGTTTGATGCACATGAAACATAGAAGGGCTCCTCTTCGACACAAGCTTTACATTGCCGCCTCGAAAACAGTGACTCGCCACGTACCGTACTACTGAGGGTACGGTCACCGACGCCGGTCGTCTTCAAGAGAGTTCTGTTAACTCGGAGACACGGCTGGCATGCGATCCATCACTTTACTGTTGCCCAAACAGGCTGTCATCAATGATGCCTGCCAGATTCCCGGTGAACGGACATTTGTGCCGCGGCCTCGGACCAAGTTCAGTGAGTATGTAGTAGTTTATTGACTGAAAAAGAAAGGCAAACCCGCCTCAATAAAATACTGCCAGCATGCACGTAGTCACTGAGTAGTAGCACTGAGTAGGTCTCGTAGAAGGAGAATGATTCTCTTTTGATTGACTGAAGGCTTCGGACTTTTGACTTTTTTTTCCCCTTCTGACGGCCATCAAGACCAAGAGCCGGTGGGCAAGGAGTGAGAGGGGAGCGGAGGAAGGTAAGAGAGGAGAGGAGGGAGTCAGTGATGCCCATTACTCAATTTTCAGCTTAGCGGGCAGGAAGTCATGGCATCGAAGATAGAAAGGATAGAGGATAATGTCTCAGAGGTAATGATACTTCGACTGTGTGTTATGCATGATGTTGAGTCAACAGTCCGGAGATCCATCTGCATTTCTGAACAAACGCTGCAATGTACGGAAGGTTTACAATGTTGTCAAAGCAAAGCTTCATGCTCGAAAACTAGGAGCATCGGTATGTGGAGGCATAGCATCGAAACTGATGCTTCCTGACTTCGTTCAGTTTATGCGGTATGGATGCTTTTTAGCAATCTACATAGCAGTGGTTCTGGATCAGAAAAATGCGACAGTCAAGCAATCCCTGGATAATGCGTTCGACACATACTTTGTGAAAGGTTTTCAGGAATTCTGTGTATTGATTTCAAGTTGACACGAATGATCAAGCAACTTTCCGAGATCCATCTTCTCTCGAATTTAAAGGATGGTATGACATCGTCACCATTGACGATTTCTGGAATTGGTTAGAACACATTTGTAATGATTTCATGGATGACCTGGTGAATGTAGGCACCAATATCTTCTTATTCCTCGCTTGATCATCGAAGACAATTACGATTATGGCTCTCCGCCACTTCTTCCAGAACAGGCTAGTAGAATGGATGCTGGGGAGAAATTTTTTGTATGACAGAATATCAAAAACACAGAAGTACAAAATCTTAATGCATAACAAAATTACTGGTGGATTCACGATGATGCAAAGAAGAGCCGACACTCGGTAAAACTTTGAATTTCAGATAAGTGAATAACTCATGTCTCGACTAGGACGTGTCCGATCTTACGCAAGTATCTTGAATTCATGCCACACTGCACCTATGAGTTATATGCCAGCGGCACTGTGGGCAAAGTCAATCGGTAAATACCTGGATTGCATAGCGCATGATTGAAAAGTGTGTGTGTAGGTCAACATTCATTGGCGCGAGGGGCGAAGTATTTCGATACGACGAAAGGCCTGCTGTTTTCCCTTATCAGGACTTTGGGTACTTTGAAACCTTTCCGAGGAATCAGAGTCTCGCTCTACAGAGGCTGCTCGAGTTGAAGGTAGTTGCTGTTCTGTGACAATTGCTTCTGACCGATTCCTCCATTCAGTCACAGAGATGGATTGACGCTCAGACAAAATATTATCGATTGGATTTCGTATCTTTGAATACCAACGTGGGGCTATTCACGTATGTGAAGCTAGTTGCAAGATTCAGCAACACAGGATCGATTCTTCTTAGTCATGATATTTCAAATCTTCCGGCGTCAACATACCGAACCTCTCGTCAAAAACTGAGGTATTGCTCGATGGTATGCCACCGACATGACTTATGGTTGCAGGTTTGCCGGTGAAATCATCCTGATTCTTTTATGGTCATTGTACGTCCTACACGAAATAAAGGTGATTAGGGAGAGGTCAAGAGAAAAGGACAGTCTGGCGAATGCCTTGTATCAAAGTGCAAAGCGGCTATCAACTCTGCAGCTCTTGATCTTTGCCTGTATTATAGCAATGTGGGCCACAATTGTGCGAGAGCTCGAATCTAAGTACTCCAACCTGATCATCACAAGCCACGCCATTACCACCAAGAACCCGCCGAATCAACCTCCAGACTTTTTTTATGTCATTGCTCTGGTGGATGCCTATTTCATCTTGAACGGCATCAATATGCTCTTGTCTTTCTTTCGATGTATCGAGTACTTGGAATTCAATTATTCTCTTTCTCGATTGACGGAAACATTCAAGTTCATGAGGAAAACTTTGCCGCAATTCCTTTTGATCTTCTGCATAGTTGTCCTTTCTTTTATGCTAATGAGTCATCTCATGTTTGGATCGAAGTTGGCGATGTTCTCATCTTTTGGATCGGCACTGTCAGGAATCTTCTCAGTGTTGATTGGTGACATCAATTACTTTCAGCTCATGGACGCGGACTCGGTGGCAGCGCCCATCTTCTTCTATCCGCTTCTGTTTGTGATGATCTTCGTGGTTTTGAATCTCGTGATTGCAATTATCATCGATGCTCATGTGGCGATGACGGCTGAGAAGGATGTTGCTCTCCGCTCATGGATGAAAGATGTTGTCGACTTGCCCCTTACCACGCAGCTCTGGGATGGTGTCCTTCATTACCTGGAGCCGATTCGCTTCCTGTTGCCACATGCTCTGTCCGCTAGGTACGATCGAGTGAGCAAGGAGAACATCATCGACGCCTTCAACGTCTTGGAAGGGATTGAACTTCCCAGTCATGACAAATCACAAGTCAACCTCGAACGTATCTCTCTCATGGACTTGCGGCTGCTTCTTCGGGATCGCAACATCACCGAGCAGAGGCTGGCTTCGATCTTCGAGCATTATGGAGCATGGGCTGAGGAGGAGGAGCCGGTGGATACTGAGGTGACTTGTTCAAGATTTCTTCCGACACTGATAGAACTTTTCAGAAACTTGCAGATACTGACAAATTGGCGTATGCTGAGTTGCTACAAGAGGCCACGAGTGGTGCGTGTTGTTCGCTTGCGATTCAGTTCATGACGTTTCCAGCAGAGATCGAGAAGCTGTTGTCAGAGATCCAAGCCTCCATGCAGTTTTCTCAAGACCTGCAGAAGGAGGCTGAAGAGCAGCTGGACTTGCTTATTGACGCTCACATCTGAGAGGTGCTAGGGATGTACTATGAGGAGGAGGAGCGAGGGCGGACAGAGAAGGGAGGGGCTTGCCAAGGGGGAGGCAGGAAGGCATAGACATTGTAGATTTAATTGCAGAAGGAAATTTTATTTGAGGGACTGGCGGCTCTTCAAGACGCTCTTGACCTCGTCCCATTCCTGCAAGAAGTTGAGAGGACCAAAGGAATGAGGACCCTTGCCTTGGAGGGAGCTATCCTCTCGTACATCCCCAGCTCCTCCGGCATCTCCCCGAACTCCCTTGGCCTCTGTCCGTTGAGAATCTAGAGGAAGTCAGCGCCAGCTCCCCTCCCCTCCTCTCCCTCGCACAGCTGCGATGTCGCCCGATAGTTCCTTGTCGACATGCCACCTTCCCCTTGAGCGTTCGGTCATTCTCCTCTTCAGCATCCTGCATGTTCTCACAACCCCCGGAGCTTCCCTAACTCTCTCACGTGGCCATGACTTCTCGATCAAAGGCAGGAGCAGCTGCAACCTTGAGAGTATCGCGGACGAGAGCATCTTTGACCTACGAAAGCGTTGGTGACGAACAGCAGAGGAGAGGGAGAGGGGGGGGAAGCACCTTGAAATCAAGATCGTTGTCTCGCGACAAGCTTGGCGACGCGTTCACCTCAATCAGCCAAGGACGTAGATCTGGGAAGCATGAACAAGCGGAGAAGAAGGACAGAAGGAAGGAAGAGGAGAAGGCCAGGAGGATGAGAAGGAGGAGCACCCGAGTCTATCAGAATGTCGAACCCGAAGAGCTCGAAGGCGTTGGGGTGCTGGGGGATGCGGTCTTGTACGCAGAAGAGCGTCTTGAGGACCACCAGCGCTACCCGCCCCCACAGGCTCTTCCAGTCGATCCCAAGTGCTCTCAGCCGCCGCTGAAGCTGCTCAAGAGAAATCTAAAGAGAATTTAGCGTCCTCCTCACTCACTCGTGGAGCAAACCTTGGAGCCCCCGGATGCATACCCGTCCGACCTTAAGTTTCGCTGCTGGAGCTCGTTGACATTGTGGCGGTTGATGGAGCTGAGGAAGGAGAGAAGAGATGAGAAGAAGGTCGGAGAGACGACCAGAGGACGAGGAGGCGCCAGCAGATGAGGAGGAGGTTGGGAGGAGCAAGCATCTCCTGTCACCTATTTGTCAAGTGAATGAAGCGGTTTGCGATGTCTCCGGCATCGAGGCTGCAAGGAGTCATTAGGAACGGTCGTGGTCTGAAGGAGCAGCTGCGAACCTGTACCGTTCGGAGCTGAAGCGAGCGAAGCCCTCCTGGTACAAAAACGCCTCGAGGGGGTTCATGCTGGTGACGAGGACGTAGAGGCGAAGGTCGAACTTGTAGCCCTCGAGGAGGAGAGGACGCTCGATGTAGGCCTGCACGATGACGCACTCGGTGTAGGAGACGGCAGCGATGTCGTTGAACACGAAGATGCCACGACCTCGCGAGGACCCCGCAGGCTTCATGATCCACAAATTCTTCGAGGTCGGGAGGTCTGCTTTCCTCGCAAACTCCGTACAGAACTGAACGTACTCACCAGGAAGCGTGAAGGTGAGCTGTGAGTGAAATATGTAAGAAGTGAAAAGCGAGGAGCACACAGCGGAGAATGAGCAGGGAGAGCAAAACAAGCAGCGGAAGAGCAAAGCAAGCAGCGGAAGAGCAAAGCAAGCAGCGGAAGAGCAGCAGACGTACAGGAGTTATGTCGAAGTACTCTCCGACTTTCCCCGGAATGTTTCGATACCTTGCAACGTTGCGTTTGAGATTATCCTGTGAAGTGTGAGGGGAAAAGTATGCTCGTACTCAAACCTTTCGAGTCAGATGCTTCGCTTCTGGGAAATGATTCACTCGCTGCCAGATGTTGAGGTCTGACCACTGAATCTGCAGCACACGTTTGAATCCTACACGATCACATGCCTTCCTCACTTTCGGCTTGCTCCACGTCCACAGCAGGTTCCAGCAGGAAGAGTTCTTCTGCTCGAGCAGAGTTAGACAAGCTGAGAAGTGGGACGGAAGGGATGGTACGTGCGAAGCAGGCATCTCCGTCCAGTCAGCTGAATCATCTCGAAGGCTCAAGAATGCTTCAGACACGATGGAAGCGACCTGACGGGACACTCAGGAGGCGAAACGATACGGGGGCAGCTACTTCTGGTCGGTTCTGTACGACTCTGAAGAGAAGCTGGGCGGAGCTCCTCTCCTTCTGGTACGCCGACGCTCTGCCTCCTGGTCACCTCCTCGAGAAAACGTTTCAGCAGCACCTGTCCGAGCAAGCTTGAAGCGCGTCGTCCAGCTCCTTGTCTCCCATGTTGATCTTCACCTCATTCTTGCCGTGCAAGTCAATTTCCTCGACCTCGCCTCTCCTCCTACTCGTACCTTCCGCCATCGCCCGAAGGTTGCCTTGAGCGATTCCCACTCCTTGATGAACTTCTCCGCTACCTCCGCAAACCTCTTCCTCTTCATGTCAGCCTCTCTACTTGTGAATGCTCAGCACCTGAGGATTTTCTTTTTCTCCAAGATGATGAAACGTGAAAATCTGCTCCACGGACTTGAACTGTGATGAGTAGAGAGTAGCAGGAACTTCTGGGAGCTTCTGGCAGACAGTTTCCTTGCTCAAGGTCATCTCCTCTTCCCTGCTCGGGTCTTGGGAAGTAACAGGAGGCTCCAAGTCAAGAGCTTGACTTTGGGGTCCAACACTTGACGACTGTGTTTCTGTCGTACCTGATTGCTGCACAATCTCATTCGATGCTGCAGCCCCCAGCGGCTCAGCCTCATCATCATCACTTTCAAGTCCATCGGAGAAGGCAATGAGTTCGAGCTCATGCAATTTTCGCCTCCTGTCCCACAAGGAGTTAGGGAATTCATCTCGTCTCTCCAGCCTCTCACGTCTCCTCGTTGAGATTCTTCTGCCAGCCATCCGACGACGTCGCAAGCTCCTCTGCCTGGTCTCTGAGAGAAGGATCGTAGAAGTCTTTCTCATCCTCGTCCAGTCTGGCATGTGCCGGTTGGATCCATGGCTCTGGTGATGTCCGTTGTTCCCCTAAGAGCAAGAGGTCAAAAATCGCTGCGACAAGACAAACGAGCACAACCGACTGAGTCCTCAGCATCCTCAACTTCGCGCTCGTCACGACGGCGAGGAGGAGAGGGCGACGAGAAAGTCAACCCCTCAAGATCTGAATACCTGTCACTTCTTTCTTCTACCTCTTGCTCCTCCTGTGCCTCCTCGTGGCGGTTATATTGCTGTTGCTGTTGCTGTTGCTGTTGCTGATGGTGCTGTGCTTCCTCGTATAAAGCATGTTCAGGCTCTTGTGCTAGAGTATGTCCTTCTTCTGTTTGTTTGCTTCCTGTCTGTCGTTTCCTCATCTCTGCCGTGTAAGACGACATTTCTGCAGTAGAGACAGCATCGGCAACCAACTCCCCGTCTTCGTCCTCATCCTGTTCCTCTTTCTCGTCCTCGTCCCCGCCGTCGCCGTCGCCCTCGTCCCAGCCTTCGTCCTCGCCATTCTCATTCTGCTGCTGATTAGTTAGGTAAAGTTCTGGGGCGTCCTGCTCTTCTGTGCTTTGAGCAGATTCTGATTCTGTCGCTTCGCTTCCCGACCCAAAAACGTTCGAGAGCAGTTTCTTTCTCTCTACACAATTCCCTGTTCCACCTTTTTGCGCTTCTCTGCTTTCCTGCTTCTTGTTTCCCTCCTTCCCACAATTGTCTACATTCAACAGATTCCCGTCATTTTCCGCGCTAAATGTGAACTCTTCTTGTCCTGATGTCGTATCCTCCGAAGTAGGATGATCAAGCAAGCCTCTGTTCACTTCGTCTCGGCAATCTCTTGACTCGTTCACATCAGAATTCTTCCTGGCTCCTTTCTCCGCTTGGAGGACATTCTTCACTCGCCGACCTTGTTTGGAAGTAATGTCGTTAGTTTGACTTTGATGCAATTCTATGCTCGATTTGAAAGATGCTGAGCTAATTACGGAAAGCCGCTCTTTCTGGTTGGACTTGGTAGTTTCCTCGGAAACGTTTTGCTTCTCCACTTGTTTTCTCTTGTGCTCTGCTATCCTCTGAAGAATCTTCTTCTTTTGCTCTTTGTGCAGCTCCAACTGCTGTTTTTCTTGTTGCTCCTTTTCAAGTTTCTTTGCTTGTTTCTCCTGCTGTTTCTTTTCTTTGTCTGCTCGGGCATCGGCTTCCTTCTCATCCTGTCGTTTGCTTTTTGTCTTGGTGCGGTTCGATACTCCCGACGTCATGAAGCAAACTTCAACCTTCCCTCCCCCTCCCAGAGAGAATGCCTGAGATGGAGGGGGCTTCGGCCGCGGAATCCATGGGCGATCACGAGATATCTGACTTCCGCGAGAGGTCTTGACCTGCAAACTTTCCTTCCCCACTGCGTTTCCGTCCCGTGAGTTTGATGATTCAGATGATGAGCGAGCTCGCTTCAGTTCTGCTCCTCCAGATGATGTTTTGGGTTGGATGGGAATCTTAGAAGAGAAAGCAGGTGCCTGATTGACTGAAGCACTCCGTGTGGAGCTAGCGAGAGGTTTGATAGGGTCAGACGTTATAGGCAGGGGTCTAGGTTGGTCTGGTTGCTGGGAGGGAGGAGGAATCGCCTCCAACTTGATCAGACGTCCTTCAGCACGTTCCTACAAGAGCGTGCGTCATTGGCCATCGAGCTGTCAAACTCCATCTTACCTTCAGTTCTAGATTCAGAAACATGATAAGCTTGTCTGCATTGTCTGGTGCATATCCTTGCGATTTGGCCTGCATGTAAGTTGTCAAGAAGATTTTCTGTCTCAGTCTCTAGTTGATGTTACATGTTGAAGCATCAGGAGCCTGCCCTTGATACCCTCCGTGGTCATCGCAAAGACTTCTTCCATCTCGAACTGCAGAGCAGCTGCCACCTGCAATGGTCTCAGAATCCTGGAAAGAGAGCGGAACAGCAAAGGACCTGCTCGGTGAAGAGGCTTGTGATTTCCCTCTGCATCTTATGTGTTGTTGAACTGGATGCAACGCTCTTCTCCTGCGAACTTCTGACTTCTCAGCTGGCCAATGCTTCTGTGCCGTGGACGGTAGTTTTCATATCCATCTCTTGCAACGCCAGTCAAAGCTCTCCGCCCTCTTCATTTTCCCTCATCTTCCACTTGTTCCTCCTTGTCGGCCTCTATCATGTCAGTTGCAGCGGTGTGCTGCTTCAGCAGGACCATCCCAGTCCCTCCGCTTCCACCACAGATTCAACTCCCATGGCGTTCCCCCGATCGATTTGATTCGAATCAATCATTGCCATATGAACAGTTGAACCGAAAAAAGTCACCAAATTCGATTTCAATCGGTTCAAACAATTTTGAATCTCCAATTCCCGCCATGCAGAATTTTGTATCCCCTCTCTTCTGCCCCTTATGGTAATCCCTTCCTCCCCTCCTTCCTTCAACTAGCTCCTCCTCTCCCTGCCATACCTCCCTACCTCCCCTCCTTCCTTCAACTAGCTCCTCCTCTCCCTGCCATACCTCCCTCTCACAGATTCTTCAAACTACATCCCCGATGGCTCCCTGCGATTGATCTCAGACAAGGTTAATCGGGTGTAGCGGTCTACGACAAGTTTCGTCTTCAGTGAATAGTATTGCCTTGTTGTCTCAATCAATCAAAGAATCAGCATGGCAGCCAAGAGCGATGTAGAAAAGCTGCTTGAGGAGGTTCAGATCACTTCCAAGTCTTGGCTGGGTGATGAGTTGATCAGCGCACTCAGCTCAGAAGATCTTGAAGGCTTGGACGACGAATGGGCAGACGGTCAAGATTCAGACCTGGATGATATCAGCTCGTTGACCTTCTCTGATATATCATTAGCCAAGCCTTCAAGAGCAGCAAAAGCAGACGACGATTATAGGCATCTGACTTCCAAATCAGATTCAAAGAAAGGAGACAAAGACGAGATCATCAAATTGAGGGCACAACTGGAAGAGCTGCGAAATCAAAACGAAATTCTAGAATTTAAACTGAATCATGCGCATCGCAGACGAGAAGACGATATTAATCAGGTTCGCGAAAAACAACTAAAGCCCGCATTAGAGACGATCTCGCAGCTTGAAAGGATGCGCGACAAATGGAAAGAAGATGAGAAGATTCGAAAGGAGGACTTTCTACATGCTCTTGAGATCTCGCAAAGAGATTACCAGGAAATTCAATCTGTCCCACCAGAAAATCGTGATTTGAAGCAAGAAGTAGCATTGCACGTTTGGGAGCGAATAGCTGAAGTTCAGAAAGGAAGGACTGCGGCAAGAAGAGAAGCCGATGCTTTACGTGAATCTCTGAACTTAGCCAATGCTGAATTGCGAGACGTCCATGGAAGGTGGGAAGAATCCGAGAAGATTGCAAACGCAAGATATGTAGAATACAGTCAGAACTTGAAGACTTGGCAGGAAAAATGTTCAAACCTTCAGCGTAATCTGGATGCCCTAAATGAAGCCATAACCTTGCATGAAGAGAGAAGTCGAAGATGTGACGAAGCAGAGGCTCGAGAGAAGAGAACAGCACAGGAATTGAACAATGCTGCAATCCGGGTTGGAGAGCTGGAAGCCGTCATAGCAACTTTGCAGAACGAAATGAAGAATGTCATGGAAGACTCTCAGGAAAAAACGCGCGTTTCGAGCATCCTTCAATTGGACAAAGACTACTTGCAGAAAGAAAACGCGGATCTCTTGTCCAGATGTCAGAAAGCAGAGGAAAAATTGGAGAAGAAAGCTTTCAAAGTGAAGGAGCTTCAACGAAGCAAGGAGCAGCTGGAATTACAGATGAGAGAACAACAGATCTTGACAGTAACAAGCAATGAGGAAAGAATCCAGTCACAGATCGCAGCCCTGCAAGAACGTGCTCAGCAGGAGATTGGAGAGATAAAGAAGAACACAGCCGAGTTTTATGAGAGACAAAATCAAGCCCTCCTCGATGCCAAGGAGGAAGCTTTGTCTGAACTTGAAAGACTTCGCAAGAGGTTATCCGATGTTGAGAAGGCCAAAGAGCTTGCTGTCCGAGAGCACCTGGAGTTAGTCTCGACCTTCGAGTCAAGAGTAGGAGAAGCTCGAAGCCAGGCAAAAATCAAGGCAGCAGAACTTGAAAGAGCACACATTGCTCAGGAAGACGCTCAGGCTCTGATCCGACAGCTTAGACTCGAAGCTGAAATGTATCGCGAGAAAGTTGAGCTGCTGAGAACTGAGCTGAGCTCGCTGCAGACGTCCTCTGCCACTAGAATCACAGAACTGGAGGCGCAAGTTACAAACAATGACGCGAAGTTAAAATTGTTTGAATCCATCGAGAGTGACTTGGTAACCATGACAGACGACATGAAAGGCACTCTTTCGTATCCGGAATACGTGCTGCAGTCTGACTCCCGTGCTCTCGGAAAGATTTCTTCCTACGATCACTCGAGAAGAATCGCTCAAGCAATGTCGCTCGCGCGGAAGGTGATGGAGCAGCAAAAGGAGATCGCGGGCCTCAAGCAGACCATCGACGAGCAGGAGTCTCACATTGCGAGGATCTCAGCTGAGCTCAGTCAAACGAGCTCGTTGCTGTCCAAGTCCCCGCAGCCTCAGGATGTGCTTATCCAGGCCATCTGCGCCCGGGACGAGGAGCTCAAAGTCCTGCGGGCGGACATGAAGAGGATCAAGAGCGTGCATAACCTGTTGAAAGAGGAGCGAGACGCTCTGAGCTCGCAGTGCGAGCAGCTCAAGTCAGACTTGAACAAGTTGTCTCGCGTCAAGAAAGCGTCAGAAGATGTTCAAGCAGCGATCGGTCAACTGCAGTTCCAGCAAGAGGTGATGAGATTGTTTGATGTGATGCTCGTGACAAGCTGTCTCCAGCTCAACATGCAGAGGATCCAAGAGATTCGAAAGGTTGAAACGAAATCGTCAGGTGACATTCCTAGATAATCTACTCTGTCATGATGTGGTGACCGAATGAGCTAGATTCAATAAGACTAAAGGAGAATCAACCTCACGCCATCTGGTTTACTAAGCTCAAGAACAGGAAATAGTAGAAAAAATCACAGGGAAGTAGAAACATATTTCAAATAGTTTTGCAATCCATGTCAATGATTGAATGTAAATGAAGGAAAACTTTCGGATCAGGTTCCCGCGCTCAACAAGTTACGTTTCCTGGACAAAGCTGCATGCTTAGACACCAGAGACTTAAAGGCTGGTAGCTCCGTCTTCCCTCGCTCCTTGAGCGATTGGATGCCATCCTCACACTGCCTCAGCGCGACATCGATGGCGTCAAGAGCAGAAGCCACGGACAACTTGTCCATCCTCGTCTGGTTGGTTATGTTCTGACAGTGCTCTCCGAACCGCAGCGCCTCGATAGTCTCGTCCCCATGGCTGTCTTCCAGCGTGCCAGTGACGAGAACGTACGTTCGGCTAGAGCCTCCAAGAGCGCCCTTGAGCAGCATGGTCAGCCGAGACTCGAGGAAGGGAACGTGACTGCGCTCCTCGTTGAGGGCCTTGATGCACTTCTTGAGCACGAGCAGACCGCTGTTGATGGACGCTGCTTCTCTCTTCGCGCTCCCCTCCACCTTGGACTTACTGATGTGCTCGCACCCTGCAAGATCTGCGAGGACGAGCTGCGAGCGGATGATGAGCTGCTCTGTCCTGTCGACCCCAGCTGAATCCTTGCTCCTGTTCTGCTGGAGGTTGACGACTAGGATTGTGTGAGCTCTACTCGATCGCTCGTTCATGGCCGTAGCTCTGTATCGCTTGTTCTCCTCTCCTCGTCGAAAGACTTCCAGCAAATCTCGACGAGATGCTACTGTAGTTTCAGCGGCTCCATGAAGTTCAAATCCAGAGGAAGAGGTTCGGAGATTGACTTTCTTGCCGTCCACAAGGTCGGTGACGACCTCCTGATAGACCTGCACGTACTGCACTGAGATCGCAAGCGCTGACAACTTCTCTCGTGCCATCTTCTCTCTCGCGTCCAGCAGCTCCCACATGCTCCGCACGACGATTCCGAGCTTCGAGCTGGTGCCTTCAAGCTCGTCCATCCACTGTGGGGGACCGAAGAGCGAGAAAGTCTTGCCGCTTCCTGTCTGCCCGTACGCCAGCACACAGGAGTTGAATCCGTTGAGCGATGAAATCACCGCGTTCCTAGCGAAGTTGGAGTACACATCCTCCTGCCCGACCTGTGCGTCCATGACGTTGGAGAAGCGAAACGAGCGGACGCCAACCCCCGGGATGTATGCAGCTACGCTCGACTTATCGACCGAGAGAACTTTTGACCTGCCGAACATCCGTCGCTGCCCCTCGTTCTCATCAGCCGCTTGGGAGCCATCTGGGCCTCGCTTCTGTCCGCCTTCGCCCGCACGTGCCTGACTGGGATGGGCTGAATCGATGTGCATACGATGTACCTCAGCCTCTTCTGGTCTTACCTCGCCAGCAGAGCCTTGACTGTAAGAGCTCGTCCTGTCGTCTTGTTGAACACTCAAGTGGGACACGTTGGTTCTCGCATCAGATTGTGCTCTGCTGTTGGCAAAGAAAAGGTTCTTAGCGTCCTGCAGCATCTCCATTAGCTCCGAGGAGATGTCACTTTCATTCCCAAGGAACTTCGATTTGATCTCACTGACTGACAGCTTAAGCTCTCCCATCGCCTCCTCCCTTGTAATCTTCTGCCCTTTCTTCAGCATCTTGAGACGCTGATGCAACGGCAGAATCAGCCCAGTCTCCTCTTGATGTCCGGGTTTGAAGCGAACCGCCACCCGTATCTTGTGGTCGTGAGCAACTGAATCGCAGCTGCTCCACTTGTTCCTTGCGGGAAAGAGGTGATCCCAGAAGAACGCTCGCCACTCGACCACCAGCCCCTCGGGCACGTAGAGCGCGAGCTCGTTGGATATGATGCGAGAAATGAGGGCCCATCCGTCTTCTCCATCATCGATCCAGCTTCTGAGCGTCCTTGATACGCATCTGAGCATGACCTGTCGCGAGTGATCAATAGAATCCTGAGTCAACCTTGGAAACCCAAAGCTCCATCCTAACTTTTAGAAATGCAAGCTCCTCCCTTCACGCGTCTTCCCTCCCCATGTCTGCATCATCACCTCTGCTCTCCTCTCTCCTCCTGCTTACCGCATGTCGCCATCCCACAGCTGGCAATGTCAAACAAAGCGCTTGCATTGCCGTTGAACCAGCAAGTCATGATTCAAACTTCTCCTCTAGAAATTCAAATCATAGAGCAAGATTTGCATCAGGAGTGAAATGACAAAGTACCTAGCAGGCGCAATGGGACGAAGGCTCAGGAGCAGTTCCTCGAGGCGTGAGGGGAGGAGGTAAGAGGAGCAGGTTTGAGAGGAGGGAGTAGGAAGCACACTAAGAGGACGAGCTCTCCAATGCGCTCTCGCCATGCTGTCGCCTTTTCTCTTCTGGCAGCGATCTTGACGCATGCCGGGGTTCCAGGATCGCGCGGGCGCATCCCAGGACGAAGGATGGCATGTTGGCAGATGCTGAGATTGAGGGGACATGGAGGCGAGTTTGATTACTTGCCGGATGAAGGTCTCTTCATGAGTACTGAGGAGGAGGAGCCCCGGCCGCGAGAAGAAGGAGCGCCGATCACAAGCCTCCCGGAAGCTATCCTCACCCGAGCTGAGTTAGAGCAAGTCAAGTACTGGAAGAGGGTCGAACGGTCCATGGAGGCTGAAGAGCAGGATAGCGCCAATGACACCATACCGTATCCCGTTGAGAAACTATTCGTAAGCAGCAACACTACGGACACTTCTTGGCGAGCCATGGAACTCATGAAGGAGTGTACCATGAACGCAGTGCAAGGCAACGCCGAGATGTCAGACGGATTTCTCGTGTTTCAAGACATGTTCGAAGTGGGAGAACAGTTGGGACTGTCGTTTTTCCATCAATTCTTGAGGTTTGTCATTGCGCTCGCCAGAGATGGCAAGGCTGAGACTGCGGACGGGGAGAGGGTGTTCGAGTTCATTGTAAATCAGGGGATTCGTCCTACAAAAGAAACTTACATCCTCGTGATGAATGTCATATGTGAGGGAGCTAAACAGGACCCACAGCGAGGATATCTTTCGGAAGGATATCGATGGTATGCAAAATTCCGGAAAGACGGGTTTGAAAGTGACGAGGAAGTAAGAGAGGCGTATTTTGAGGTCTACGAGGCGCAGAGCCCCAACGTCTATGACGTGGATTTCTATCGAGATAACTGGTGCGTGCTCTATAGTGCTGAAGACCGCCTGTGGCAAGGAATTCCTGAATTCGGGATAGAACCGCACGGTTCCTACATTGATTTGATCCCTGAAGAAGATTTATGTAACAGTACTATACAAGAGATTTTCAAGGGAGAAGACAACGAGACATCTTCAGACATCAACATGACTGAGAGCGAATATTCGAGTTCTTTCTAGCTGAGGATGCCGATCCACTCGGTTGGGAATCTTCCTCGTCGGGTGCCTCCTCATCGCTTGCATCGGACTGAGTTGACGAGTCTGGTTGGTGCCATGCAGCCTCAGCAGCGACATCTTCGACTACAGACAACCTGGAAGGAACAAGACGTGAGGTCCTGACTATCTTACATGCAACAGCATACCGCACGAGGCTTTCGAAACCGAGGGGAAGAATGGGGATGGAAGCAAGGAAATCCGCAAGAGCAATCGGATCAAAGAAGCGTGCAATCTTGTCGCAGACGTCTTCAAGATTCTCCCAGTGCGTTAAGATTCTTTTCTTGACATGGTGCAGATCTCCTTCGAAGTAGATGAGACATTGTTCCAAGTCTTTCTCGAGGTCCTCGTCGAGGTCCGAGGGGGCAGGCGGTTTCGACGTTGGAGGCCCAGATTCGAGAAGCTTGTAATTTACCCTGTATTCAATAAGTTTATATCTGTCCTGTTTGATCTTGTACTCGATCTCAATCCTGTTCCCATGATTTGTTGCATGAACGCGTGCCGCAAGCGTCATTCTCTTCGGCTTGCATTCCCATGCAACACATTGAAGCTCTGACATCAACTTCCTACCCAGCTCCACAGAAGTCCTGCTCTTTTGGCACTCTTACTTCGGGTCACACTGAAGACAGAAAGCTCAACGTACCAGAGAAACATCGTCGGAGTTCCACCTCAGAGAAGTTGCTTTCAGTAAATTCTGGAATCGGGTTGGGTCTGACTGGAAGGGATACGTTGATAATCTAAGTCTGTTTGTGTTTGAAGCATTGGAGACAACGAGGGATGAAGAGAGTAGGAGAGCTCGTAAGATCATACAGCAAACTGCATGCTTTACCAGCCTCCTCGCCATCGCTATCTGACCGGTCACATCGATATGAGCATTCCTGTGCTTGGTTTTTTAAAATCTGTAAAAGATAGAAAATCTCTTGTAAAACAGAAGGCAATGGCGTGAGGTGGGGAGGATGCGAGCGGTCGGGATGGAGCTGCTTGTCACTCTCCTCTTGAGCTTCATCCTCGCACATCCTGCAGCAAGTCAGACGCTCTCATGCACCAAGAAGATGAAGCTCCGCGACATCATCGCCACTTCAGACCTACTCGAAGCCTCCGACAGCCTCGGGGAACTCGTCAAGTGCTTGAAGATCGCGGTAGCCAAGGACAAGACATCCTCTCAGCTATGGCGGCGGTTGTCCTCTGCTGTCGTGAGATACGATGCTGTCGAGGCCTTGCGGCTCATCGAGGATGGTCTGGCTGCTGTCGAGCAGGCGAACGCCCCGGGCTCGGTTGGCCTGTGGGCCATGAAGGCAGAATTCCTTGACAAGCTCGGATCGGACGAGCAAGCAGAGGCAGCATACAAGGAGACCAGAGCGTTGCTTCCACAGTCAGACCTGACATGCTACAATCTTGGCTTCTTCTACATGACCAGGAACAGGTATGATGAGGTAAGTGTTGTGGTGCCAAGTGATCGACAGAACCTAAGATGATCCTAGGCTCTTGCCGCCTTTCTTGAGGCTGCGAAGCTCAACCCAAGATCGGGACGGAATGCTGAGGCTGTTGGAGCAGTCTACTTCGGCAACGGGATGGAGGAGGAGGCGCTTCCATGGATGAGAAAAGCTGTCGAGCTCTCACCCGATGAACCCAATGCGAGGATGAACCTTGCGAATGCGCTGGGGAAATTAGAGAAGTCAAACGAGGCTGTGCAAGCATACATGAATGTGCGACTTTAGGTTTAGCTCTCTCAGATTGATCCTTCTTGAAGGTGTTGAGGTTGGATCCCACCAACGAGGACGCCGCCTGCAAGTACGCTTATTTCAGTATCCAGGTACGACGACTTTGATTTCTGTGCGGAAAGATGAAACTTCAGGCTGAAGGTTTGCAATTGGAAAGACTATAACAACTACATCAAGACGATCAAAACCATCGTCAAGAATTCAATTCGTCAAGGACGGAAATCAAGTTTGACTCCTTTCAACGGCTTGATCATGCCGATCAGCATCAGCGATCAACTGCTTCTCGCTAGAAGCTACGCGTCAGCCTCTAGAGCTCAACAGCTTCCTCCTCCTTCCCGCTTTCATCGACGGTCTCTTGCACCTCCAATGGCTGGAGCTGACATGCGGCAGAGATCGCGTCCGAGTCGGCTACCTGTCTGCTGACTTCCGCAACCACCCCATGGGCAGAGAGCTGTCTGCCCTGCTGCCTCTGCATAATCGATCAGGAATGAGAATGCGCATTGTTTTGCGCTCTCCTTGACCCTGCCATCCAGATTTCGTCTTCATTTGTTACGCTCAGAACCCCCCGCACGCAGTTCACGACGGGAAGTACCGGAAGATGGTGAGGAGGACGAGGACGAGGAGGACGAGGACGAGGACTCACTCGTGCTGACCGTGACTGCCAAGTTCGTCGACTCGTCGGAGGCGCTGAGAGAGATCAACCCGCTGTCGGACGAGGAGGCAGCAAAGATGGTGGGAGCACAAGAGTTCGCCCTCCCATGGAAGTGACAGTTCGCCTTAGATCCGAGACGACCAAATCGACATCCTCGTTGACTTGATGGGATACACGCACGGGGCGCGGGAGGGGTTGCTTGCAATGAAACCAGGTGCTCCTCTGCCTTGGCTCCTGCTCTTCCTCCACAAGCTTCGCTCCTCCTTTGCTTCTCCAACCCAGAATGTCCGTCCTTCCGTGATGACATGGAGCAGGGCGCGTGCAACTCGGCTTCAAGGGCTACATGAGCACGACAGGAGGAGATTTTCTATCCCACCTGGTCTCTGATGCAGTTAGTGTACCTCCTGAGCTTGCTGTCTTTTACTCCGGTCAGTTGTTGTTGAGAAGGAAACCCATGACGCTTCCTAGAGAAACAGCTGCAGCTCGGAATGCTTTTCTCGTCCTCCACTCATGCTATCAATCACCCGGAGATGCTGTCCTCCAGTCTGATCTCGTGAGCCTCTCCTTGCACCCTCCTGCAAGTTGCTCCAGTCACACCACAAGGACAGCCGTAAGGAAGCTGGTCTACCCGACAAGATGTTTATCTTCGCATGCTTCAACACGCTCTACAAGGTATATCCTTCCTTTTTTCTCCCTTTCCTCTCTCTCCTCTAGCTCATCACTCGTTGATCTTGAGCAGATAACTCCAACACTCTTCCTTGCATGGCTCAAGATCCTCAAGAACGTCCCCAAGAGGTTTCAGATCCCCAGCCCATTTGCAGTTGACAGCTCGCAGTGTCCTCTGGTTGCTCGAAGAACCGGCAGACGCGAAGGCACACTTATGCAACTTTGCACGCGAAAGAGGAGGTTGAAGGAGGAGGCGCTGGTGGTGATGGTGGTGGTGGTGGTGGTGGAGGAGGACGAGGAAGAAGAGGAGGACGAGGACTCATCAGTGACTCTCTCCTACTCAAGTTGATTGCAAGCGCCTGATCTTCACCAAGAAAGTTCCCCTTGAGAAACATCTGCAGGTGTGCCAGTAGTCTGCTAGGTAGCGGGAGCAGAGATTGTGACAATCTGTCAGGTGAAGGCGAACGCAGACTTGTTTCTCGACACACCCATGTACAACGCTCACTCAACAGCCGCCGACGCCTTATGGGCAGGGTGAACCACTTCGTTGCCTCCCCCCCCTCCCCCCCCTCCCCACCCCCCCCTCAGATGTAGTTGCTGTCTGCCTGCCGTGTATCTCTGCTCCTGGACTCGAACTCACTTCCTCCTGCGCGCCTGTGACGCACTCATGACAGCGTTCCCGTCCTCACGCTTGCGCGAGAGAAGATGGCCGCACGAGTGGGAGCCTCACTTGCTCTCAGCCTGCACATGCCTGAAGTACCCTAGTGTCCTCCCCTGCCGCTCTGATTCTTCACCAGCTCATCGTCAGGAACATGGAGGAGTATGTGAGCGTAGCGACCTTGCTGGCTAGGAGGAGGCGGAAACTGCAAAGAATCAGAGAGAAGCTTCTCAGGATGCGGAAGGATAACAAGGTCCTGGCATGCGCGGGAGGAAGTGACAGGAGGTGAGATAGCAGCAGGTCAGGACGTTCGACGTGCAAGGATGGATGGCAAGTTTTGAACGATCACTTCGGATTAGTCTCGACTTACAGTCGCTTTCTCTTCACTCACATTTCCACATCATCGCGTACTCACAGTGAAACCTGAATCTACTTGCGGACTGAACAATACGGGCCATCAACCACCTTTTTCTCTGCCGCACACATTTCCTGAACATCCCCTTCCCTCATCAACTTACATCTTCCGTTCCTTACCCAGTCCAACCATTGCAAGCACAGTTGCAGCAGGCACTGGAGCAACGCTCAAGCTGTTCTGAATGTTCTCGAGCGTCCTCTCCCATGGCTTGTTCTCTAGGAACGTAGGAAGCTGCCGGCTGAGCAGCTCAAACGACATGAACATGATGGCTGTGTTGGGCACCACACGCATCAGGTGAGGCCCAAGGCCTGAATAGAGACCCCTCCTGCCTTCCTCGCGAGCGATCAAGGCGATTGATTGAAACATGCTCCTGTATCTCGTCGAGGCCGCTTCCCTCATACGTGTCCGCACAACCTCATGAGGATACGTTAAGATGGACGCAGCAGCCTTGGAACTCCCAGCGGCCAGCAGGTACTGCCAAGTCGTGAGCTCCTCAGAACCTGACGAGCCCTTGAGGTTGGAAGCCTTCATGCTTGCCTTCATCTTCTCGTAGAGGAGGAACTGGACAGCTCCCTCCGACAATCCCCAGTAAGAAGCAAGAAGACCTCTGTACAAGCCCTTGGGGCCCTCTTCTGCCAAGATCTTCTTTGCCGTGGCAACCATCCCCGTGCCTTGTAGCTGCATCCTCGTCTTCACCATCCACAGGGGGCAGGTGACTGTGCTGCTCAAGCCTCCCGCTGCCACTGCTGATGCCATGTGAGTGGCCGGTCCGTCTCCTATCACAGGCTCCAGAGCATTTTTCGTTGCCCCATAAGCCCAGAAGTAGCAGGACCGGGTCGGGATGATTCCAACGAGCGATAGCGAGAGTCCTCGATACAGTCCACCTACTCCCTGCTCCTTCAGTATTCTCGCTCCGACTCCGAGAGGATTCAGCCCGAGCCCAGCGTTAGCTCGTGATTGCAAGTTCGTCTTCACCACCTCCAGCGGACACGTGATGGCAGATGCTATGGCCCCAGCAACTCCACCAGCGAGGAAGTTGCAGACCCCCTGTACCGAAACCTTAGGCATGCGAAGTTCGGGGAGCTTCAGCTGGGGAATAGAGACTTGCGGGAAAGACTCGATCGAGTCAGCTAGCTTCCCCATCCCTGGGCTGTGAAATGTTCCAACAAACCCTCGAGGAGGAACCCTATACTGCTGTCCTTGCTGCAAAGAAGCTCCAGCACTAGCCGAGGCGGCACTCACTAGAGATATTTGAGCTATGAGTATGCAAGCCGAAGCTCTCAGACGTCCTCCCAAAGATCCCCTTCTACTTCCAGAAGATGCACAATTAGCAGTTTGTGCAGAACTCGAGGCACGAGGCAACAAACTAGAAGATCGCGTGGACTGATGGAAGGATGTAGTCGTAGGAGAGGACGAGGAAAGGGAGCCGCACAGATATGCGGAGGAGGAAGATGATGATGACGACGACAAGCAGCAGCAGTGGCAGGACGAGGAGCAGGATCGCCGCCCTCGACCGGCCGGGTGCATGGCGGGGGGCCGGATGGAAGGGTCACGGGGCGGGTGACTGATGGGGGTGGTGGGGGTACGGGGCGAATTCAAAAGGCGAGGTAGGGGTACTGGTTTGATGAATCGGAAGGGGTAGGGGTAGTGAGATCCAGGAAAAGACTAGAAAGACGGGTACTCTGAAGTACTTCTAGGTGTGTAGAACGGGGGGTGGTGATGAAAGAGGGTGGTCATATCTGGCATCAGAAGGGTGGGGTCTACTGAACAGCAGGGTCATTGAGCAGGTATCGAGGTACGCCCGAAAGAAGGGATGAGAGGGGGTAGGGGTAAGGAGAATGCTTCTGTGTAGGGTAGGGGGGGTAGGCGGAGGGATCTGGCCTCCGATCGTGCGAACGGGGATCCAGTACGGGTGCGTTCCTTGAGAAAAAGAGGGGTGGATCGTGCGAGGGGTGCAATCAATTAGGAAACGATGGGGTGGTAGTATCCAACGGTTTCTGCAACGGAAATTGAAGCGACCAGTGAGCTTTGAGACGGTGAAGAAACTTTGTGAAGGGCGGCAGCCGCGGCCCGGGCACTGATGAGGATTTACCTTGAAGTAAACCGTTAGTTAGGCCCCGTCGAGCTGGCAAGGCCCCCGGGCCGCCCGGGCCCCCGGTCGCGTTGAGTGGGTACGTACCGGCGGCGCGGCAAGTTAGGCCGCAGTACGGTAGCCTTGGGCACTGCATGACTTGAACCGTTCAATTGCCAGCCCAGTCACCGAACGGCGGACCCACATCCGGGCCCGGCGGTCAAGTCGACTCAGTTGAAGTCATTCAGTAAAAGCCTCGACGTCTGGCAAGGGCCAGTAGTCTGCCGACCGGTGGCACTGGCTTGAAAGTTCTGGCTACTCGAACGGTGCCGCACGTGCTGCTGCGAGCAGCTTGAGCTGTTTATATGTCTCAGTGCCAACGTCACCCCATCACCCCCTAAAAGCCTATCTAAACAAGGGGTATATGTCAATACCCACCCGTGTGTGATGAAAGCTTACGCACTAGGGCAGTGGGGGGTAGTCACCAGGGCCCTCTAAACCCACTTGCTACACCCCCACCTCCCTCCCCCCTTGCCTCCCACCCCCTAGTCAGGCAAAAAAATACCCCACCGTCTAAGATTTACCTCGAATGTACCCCTCACTTTTCCCAGTATGTACCCACCCTTCTGAGCAACTGCACCTTCCCTTACCCCCATGCCTATACTCAAGCACCCACCCTTACAAGCAGCTCTTCCTGCAGGGGGGAATACCCCCCTACCCAATTATTTGACGACAAACGTACCGGTACTGTAAGGTACCTAACGCGAACCTGAGATGGCGGCCATGGCTCAGAGGAAGCGAACGGGAAGCGGGATCAGCTTGCGCCCTCGCCTCCTCCTCTCTGTCCTTCCCTGCCTTTCGCTCCTTCTGCTCTCAGCTGTAGATGCGTTTGTCATTCGGGGTTCTCTCATTCCGCGCAGGGCAACCGCCTCAAATTGGTGCTCCAACCAAAGGATGCCCTCCCTCCGTACGGCTTCCCGTCCCAACATTCTTCGCATGACAGCCACAGCTCCGGAAGTTGAGACAAACTATGACGAGGTCACTGTTGACAACATCCGCAACATCGCAATCATCGCTCACGTTGACCATGGCAAGACTACCCTTGTCGACAAGCTTCTTGAAGCCGCGAAGGAGAACATTGACAACGAAGACGGAGGCGATCGTGCGATGGACAGCATGGACTTGGAGCGCGAGAGAGGGATCACCATCATGTCGAAGGTGACATCCATGGCATGGAACGGCGTTAAGCTGAACATCGTCGACACCCCTGGCCACGCTGACTTCGGAGGAGAAGTCGAGCGAGTGATGTCCATGGTTGACGGAGTCTGTCTTCTCGTCGATGCCACCGAAGGACCGATGGCTCAGACGAAGTTTGTGCTGATGAAGGCGCTTGCCCGCGGTATCAAGCCGCTGGTGGTCATCAACAAGGTCGACAGGGACACGTCCAGGGTCGACGAGGTCGAGGGCGAGGTCTTCGACTTGATGTGCAACTTGGGCGCCACAGATGAGCAGCTGGACTACACGACTGTGTACGCTTCTGGTAGAAATGGCTGGGCTACTCTGTCGCACCCTGATGGACCTCGTGAGAACATGAACGACCTTCTCGACACCATCGTCAAGACGGTGCCCAAGCCTTCTGTCTTGGATCGTCCGAGCTTTTCCATGGTTGTCACCATGATCGAGGGAGACTCCTTCCTTGGAAGGATCTGCACCGGCAGAGTGAGCTCTGGCGTAGTCAAGGTCGGTGACACTGTCCAGTCACTCTCTGCCGACGGCCAGAAGGTTGACACTGGACGTATTACCAAGATTCTTGCAAGGAAGGGAACGGGCAAGGTTCAGTTGAACTCAGCGAAGGCTGGAGACATTGTACAAGTTGCTGGTCTGCAGAAAGCAACAGTCGCACACACTATCTGCTCGCCAGATGTGGAAGAGCCTTTGCCCTCGGTTGCCATCGATCCTCCCACCCTCGCCATGACCTTCTGTCCCAATGACTCTCCTCTCGCGGGCAAAGACAAGCTTTCAACCAAGCTCACGTCTCAGATGATTGGAGAGCGTCTCAGGGCGGAGGCAGAGAACAACATTGCCATCCGTGTCGCTCCATCTGAGGAGAGGTCGGAGGCCTACGACGTTATGGGACGTGGTGAGCTTCAGCTGGGCATTCTAGTCGAGAACATGCGCAGGGAAGGCTTCGAGCTTGGCGTCTGTCCGCCTCAGGTGCTCTACAAGACCGGGCCCAAGGGTGAAAAGCTGGAGCCAATCGAAGATGTAGTCGTCGAGGTGGACGATGAGTTCTCCGGAGCTGTCATCAACAAGCTCTCCGAGCGAAAAGCCGTTATGACCGACATGCGTCCAGCTGCAGAATCTGGTCGTACTCGTATCACTCTCGAGTGCCCCACTCGTGGGCTTCTGGGTTATCGCTCCATCTTCTTCACCGACACCAGAGGAACTGGTGTTATGATGCTGCAGTCAGTTGACTCGATCTGACTGGTTGGTAGGAATCATGACCAGGGCCTTCAAGGCCTACGAGCCATACAAGGGTGACTTGGAGAATATTCGCAAGGGAGTTTTGGTCTCGATGAAGACGGGAGTTGCAACTTCCTACTCCCTCGGCAAGCTTCAGGTCTGCATTCACCTCCCTTGCCTTAAAGGGATCTGACGATAGCTGCAACTCAGCCCCGAGGAGAGATGTTCATCAACCCTGGTGTGGAAGTCTACCCAGGGATGATCATTGGGGAGCATTCACGCGATAACGATCTCGAAGTCAACCCAATCGAGGCCAAGCAGGTCTGAAGCTCATCGTTGGAGTACCAATCGTTGCTTATCGCTTGGCAGTTGACCAATATGCGTGCTGCCGGAGCGGATGAGAAGATTCAGCTCACCCCACCCAGAGATTTCACCCTGGAGGAGATGATCCCCTACCTTCAACCCGACGAGATGGCTGAGGTTCGCAACGCCTTTCCTTTCCTTTGAGTCCTCAGGTCTGAATCCTTCCTGCAGGTTACTCCCTCGACTATCCGCATGAGGAAACAGATTTTGGATCCGAACCTTCGCAAGCGTAAGAAGTAAGGAGCGAATTTTCCCGTCCTGCCTTTAGCTTCCTTTCTAGATTTGTTATCTTTAGCTGTGCTTTAATTGAGTTTTGAGTACCTCTAAATCTCATGTCATCGTTAAATTGCATTTCTTCTTGCAAACATTCGCCCTATTGCCATATTTTCTTTCTTTGAGACACGAGTATCTATGTCCTTCAGTCACACCAACTTTTGCAACGTCCCCGTCATCATCAATGTGATTTTCATGGTCCAAGTGCTCGTTTCCCTCCTCCCTCTTGTCCTCCTCATATTCCTCTTCCTTATATTCCTCCTCATCTCATCATCCTTATCTTCATCATCTCCCTACTCGTCCTCACATTGCTCATCGTTCTCATCTTTCTCATAGATTCCTCATCTTCTTCTTTCTCATCTTGAATCTCCTTCAGCTTCTCCATTTCCTAATCGTACTCTTCGTGGCTACCATGAACCGCTACTAACAAGGTGGGGTCCTTTTCAAGTGCAATCATGGGGTCATTTGCAGTAATCGAATCCCACGGGTAACTGGACAGGAATTAGAGGGGGTGGTTTGGGGATGGCTGGAGTATAGGGTGAGGTAGTTGGGATTCCATATGAAGGGGTGGGGTGAAAAGGCTAGAGAGCAGGGGTGAAGAATAGATGGACTTGTTGGGGGTGGGGTGGAAACCACATTCGAAACGGCGGCATGGAGAATTTGAATCTCAATGTCATGCGGGCGAAGGAAACATGGCAGGTAAGCTGAAGAGAGAAGAAGAGGCCTGGATGATGATGCAGAGAGATGGATGCAGATGGGAAGAGGAGCGAGACGAGGGAGAAGAAAGGGAGAGGAGGGATTGGAAAGAGAGAGGAAAGGGAGAGGAGAGGTAATCAAGTAGAAATGAGGACAAGGAGGGAGAGATGGAAGAGAAGAGGAAAGCAAAGATATGAGGTGAGGGGATAGACGGAGAGGAGACAACTTCAATACATTCCGATTCATATCATAACCATTTCGGCATAGGAGGACTTGCAAACAGAAAGAGAGTACCTCGCCACCAAGGAGGAATTTTCCAAGACAAAATTTGTTTATCTTGTATGTCAGCTGTCTTTCCTGTCAGTCGTTTGATTGAGATCAACAGGAGCTAGCTACCAAGAGCGAGTTTGTGAAGGAAATACTAGCAGGCACAGAAGTCGATGCGGATACAATCGACAAAGCGGAAGAAAACTTGGCAGAGGTATGAGGAAAGAAGGATATTTGGATCTCCTTAATGGATGTCTTGCTATTGAACAGTCAAAGTCAAGCTGCAAGAAGATCAAAAACAAATGCAAAGCGATGAAAGATGAAATTAATCAAATACTAGTCCAGACTCTGCAAAAGCAAAGTGAGCTTGAAGCCAACGCAGCTGAGCTCGAGGTCGCATGGCCTTGCGTTGTTCTTGTTGATCTCACTGGGATGAAACTCGATAGGCTTTGAAGAACGGGCAGAGAGATGAGGAGAACCAGAGCTTGGAAGAGAAGGAGAAGTTGGAAGCGAAGATTACAGAAAAGCAGGTGGGGATCATGCCTCGTAGTAAGCCAGAGCTGACAGCTGTGATAGAGCGTGTTGGCCCAACAGGAGGACGACATGCGGGAGTTGGGGCAGAAGAAGCAAGAGCTCGAGATCAGAGGTTGCTTTCAACGTCAATAATGTCTTGATAACGGTCATGTAGTCCGAAACCTCGAGCAAGAAGCGGAATCTCTCGCTGCGGACGTGAAGGTCAAATATGGTATGCTTCCCTTGAACAAGATTGTTACATGTTTGTTCTAGCATTCTCCCGTCGACATCCACAACAGCCGAATCGCGTCGTGGTACAACAGTGCGAACTCGCTGCTCAACTCGTTGAGCGGAGGTAGTCTTGCATGACCTGATCCACCTCTGTCGCTCACCCTTCCCCAGTCAAACAAGTTTCCATGCAAGAAAACGCCATCCTCATCGAGTTCGAGGTCCAGGCTTTCCATCGAAGGTTCTCCTTGCTCTTTGGCACATTGCCGTCTGAGGCTCGATCAGCGACAAGAAGCTGTACTCCATGACTGTTGTTCTCAACCCTTCTGCGACTCTCGCCTACGAGGTCAGGACTTCTTCCCCCTACATCCCTCCCAGTGTCATGACGTGTTCGTGCAGCTTCGCCTTGAACCGCCTGACATCGATGCGTCTGACCTAGAGAATGCCTACTTGATCGAGGTTCCTCGCTCCCTCCTGCTGCACCTTCACGCGCTCCTTCCTTGATTCTCTCAGTTCCCTCCCTCTTTTCCAACCCGGCATCGCTACTTCTTCGACTCATCTTTGTCCCTCCAGTGCCCCGACGGCAATCTTGCCAAGTTGTTTCAGGTTCGATCCCCGTCCGCTAGTCACCGGACTCACTCAACTACAGGAAGTGAAGAATCGGCTAGCTTGCCGACTCGCTCTGGAGAGCGAACTAGACACTCTCCGAAACAAGTTCTCGGTGCTGCCTCTCCCTGCCTCCCGCCAGCATGATGCTCTTGGCAGATTGAGATCGCAGAGGAAGGAAGCCTCCTCGTCGTCTGCGTTTCTCCTCTCGCCTCTCGGAACCTCGCCAGGTGCCCCCCCCTCCCTCCCCCTTACAGATTCTCTGCATCTCTCCCTCCCTCCTCCCATCCCCCCCCCCAACTCTCTCTCGATCCTCCCTTCTGCGTCTCTTCTTATCGCTTCCTTCAGGTCTCCGGCGAAGGCTCTCCCCAAGTGGCAGTGTGAGGTACACCAGCTGCTGGTCCCCCACTCCCCTCACCCTCTCTCAGATAAGCATCGAGGCTGACTATCCTCGGCCGCACATCCTCCCCGAGCTCGTTCAGGTCCAGCAGGCGGTGACTCACCAACGTCTCACTCGCGCCATCAGGTGCGGTCGGGCGCCTTCGCTTCTCCCGGCATGAAGCGTGAGCGCGCCATCATGGAGGTGGTCAACCGGACGGGCCACAGGTGCCGACAAAATCTGCATGTTCCAACACTCACTTCCCGCAGAACCGTCGCTGCCATGGTCGCCGACGCCTCTGCTAGGTTGGGGCTCTGAGGCTGCAGCTGATGGAGGCGTGAGCTGTGCTTGTATAAGTGAGATAAGATTAAAGATTGAACTAGAAAGAGTAGGAGAAGAAGTGACGAGAGAATCAGAGCTGCACATCCGAGGCGATGCGATGGCGCTTGAGGATGGCGGCATGACAGTTTGTTGCCTGTGCAATAGTTAGAGCAGAAATGAAACTATGTCTCACAATCGACCTGATCCTTGCGCAAGGCGATGACTCGGTTGTCCTCGAGGACGATGAGGTGAAAGTCTTTGTCACCCTGCGGCAGCCGTTAGTGCAGCAGCAGCAGGAGCAGAAGCGAGGGGTTGGCACCTTCTCGCCCTCGCGAATGAGTTGGACGAGATGCTTGAGGTTCAACACTTTGACGTCATTGCACATGAGGACCTGCCATCGACATTTTCACACATCAACCTGCGAGCTCAAGGACATCTTGCCTGCATGTTACAGAGAGCCTCGTACCCTGCGTTTGTGCTGTCCTGCAGCACCTGGAGGACATTGAGGGAGGGAGTTACGATCTGCTCTTACCTGTGAGAGAATGACGGCCTCCTGGTCCTCGATCTGCTGCTCTCCCATGAGGGCTCGGTCGCATAGCCGACGAGGACTTGTGTTGTACCTGCGTGCAGTCCAGTCAGGAGCCACTAGAGTCGCAGACATCTGACCAGTCATCGCCATATTCATGCAGGTAAGGCTGAGACAGCGGAGTGAAGACCAGGCCTGAAAAAAACTTATCTTGATGTAAGGGAGCAGCGAACCGACCTGCGTAGATGAAGTAGCGGGGAAGAAGATCGTACTGCTGGATGGGAACCAAATGCTTCAGAGGCTGCGCCTCAACCTTACAATTTCATCCTCAGACATCTTTCAGCACCAAGCCGGACCATACCATTATCTTCATCCTCTCTCCATTTCGCAGAATTCCCATTTCTATCTTGTCTCCTGAACAAGACTGAGTAAAGTTGGACATCCTGCAGCCGGGACTGACCTGCAAACTTGCGAGAGAGCACATAGTCGAAAGAAATCCTTTCTCGATTGCGAAACACTACAGTCCCATCGTTTCCGACCACTTGGCCGTCAATTTCAAGAATCACGTCGTGCTCCTTCAACTGCGAGGGGTTAGGATGAGCTGAATCCTTTCACAAGCTCATTCACCTTCTGAGCACTGTCAGTCAGTGGGCGAATCTTGCATATGAGCACTCCAGTCTCGTTGGTTTTCATGCCGTAAAAGGATCGTAACTGTTGTCCTCTTCACCCAAACTTGCTTGCCGGCACCAACAACGATTCACCTGAGTGTTTTCCATGGCCTGACAGCTGATGCCGAGGGCAGGGAATCCCTGTAACGAAAACTTAGGATCCTCGAGGAAAAACTGCTGCAAGAGCAGCACCACATAGACTCCACTGTTCTTCTCCACATCTCGGAGGAAATGATTGATGATCGGAACCGGGATGATGAAGCCGATGTTTTCAGCTCCCTCCAAGCTCTGGAAAGCAACACCTACGACCTAGCGGAAGCGTATGAGAAGCATCACAGACATCAGCAACCTCAGCCTGCTGACCTCATGGTTGATCAATGCCGGCCCTCCGCTGTTTCCTGGGTTGATCGCTGCATCGATCTGGATGGCTGGAAACCCGCAGGTCAGAGGCATCAAGCAACATGTCCCTTCGAGGATGCACACCTAGCAGTGAGGTCGCACCATGCACGTACTGCTGAGGCTCGACTCGTGAGACGACGCCGACGCTCACTGAGATGTTGTCTCCCCCCGTCGGATAGCCGACAACAGCTACTGGGTCTTGTAGCTCAGGGATGCCTCCGAACGTCAGGGGTCGAGTTCCCTCCCAGAACTCCTCGGAGTCAGTGGTCAGCAGGGCAAGATCGCACTCGTGTCCCACTGCCACCACCCTCGCAGTGTACTTGGTCGGGTCTCCGTGCTTGCGAATCATGACATGCGCCTGGTCTGCGACGCAATGTGCGTTGGTGATGATCCTTCTCCCTTCGATTATGAACCCAGACCCGGTGCTCTCCCTCTGCTGCTTGGTCTGCCATGGCATGAACCAGTTCGGACTTGCAGCTACTGTGTAGACTTTGATGATCGAGTTGAAGGTCATGGAAAGGTCCACCGAATTTCCCCATTTTGAGTGCGGCCATGATAAAGAGCGGACTCCAAGCGCGGTGCGGGAGGCCTTGGAAGGAGAAGCAGGCAACCTCGATCCAGTAAGAGATCTGGATAGCGAAGCTGCTCTGCTTGCGGGAGGAGCAAGAATCCCCTTCAGAACCAAATTCTCTTTCTTACTCGAGACTGCACAAGAAAGAAATCTTCGCAGCATCGCCATGGTTGATCAGCAGTGAACTTCTTGCGTTCAGTCCAAGGAGAAGGGGAGGGAGGGAGGGAGGAAGAGGTCGAGGAGGAGGAGGAGGAGGTCGAGAAGTCTCAGGACCCCTACAAACCGAACGTCTGCAGCGGCTGCATCGCCGACAGCATCGCCGAGGAGAACCAAAACGGTTGAGCGGGGATGAGGGCTACATGTCAAAACTGATCCGGAATTCCTTCTTGTGACAGAGTCTTCCCGGAGTCGATTCCTCAGCCCTCGTTCGTCCTCGTTCTCGTTCTCGCCCTCGCCCTCGTCCTCGTCCTCGTCCTCGTCCTCGTTCTCGTGCTCGTGCTCGCCCTCGTCTCATTGTTATCCTTCACTTTGTTAGATGGCCGACGTGCTCTGCCTCTCTCACTCGCTCTTGCTCTTGAACATCAAGTTTAGCTTTCGTTCTACACCTCGATTTTACAACATTAATATTGTTTATTGCAACTCACTGGGAATCTTCCATCGAGTTTCCTTGGTCAAAGTGTTCAAATAATATGATTTTCCTGACCTCCTTGATATCTTTCGAACCCACTCACCTTGAACATGATCGTCTGTCTTCTTTTTCGCTTGATCTTCACGCAAAGAATCTTTCGCTCCTTTCCCAGCCTTCATGCTTGGTAAAACAAGGGGAAAGATATCATCTCCAGGCTGTTGGAAGCCTTTCTCGTCCTTTCTCACATTTCGTTGAAGTTTTCTTGTCGTTTCACTTGAAAGAAACAGCTTCAATCGTTCGACAGCTGATTGTAATACAGTCTTGATTTGATCTGAACCATTCCCTCGCCCTCCGTTTGCTGCTTCCTTACTTTCATCCGTGCCTCGCCTCAGCCTGGACTTGCAAGTCTGCGGTCGTTGTTGCACTTGACAAGTGGTATCAGCAACGCATGGAAACGAAAAGGAAGAATTACCATCTCGAGAAGTCTTGACAAACCTCTCCATCATCGCTTGCTCGTTCGATTTGCTTGAACTTGCCTGGTTTGATTGCCATTGCAGCCTGACGCGACTTCTGTGTCGCAATTTTTGCATCAGGATGGACCTTTGTCTTTCCATCTCTACATTCATCGCGTCATGGAGGGCAGCACTCTCGCGATCGTGTCTGAGGAAGACACTTTCTTCTTCTAGACCTTCACGGTCATTCAAGACGTCGCACAAAGAGTGTTGATGATGGCTAACAATCAAGTTCCTCTCCTTCTCCGGAAGGTCTGGGATGTTTCCGAGCGATGTATACAAGGCTGTTCTCAACTTTGACTTCAACAAGTGTGCCAAGTCCGACGGTATGTAGCTTTCCATCTTCACATCCGGCCTCTTGAAAGTCTGTAGCAACGAGTCCGAGGCTTTGCAAGCGTGAGATGTGATGGTATCGGCACTTGAAAGTCTTGACTCATTCCAGTTCATTCGCCGTGAAGCCTCAAACTCCCGCTCACTTGACTGGTCCATCTTGTACTTGAGATAGAGAGGCATGGCGGAGAAACTCTCCGTTGTCTTCGATGAGCTTGCATACGCCCTGGCACGAAGTCGTTTCCAAACACTTCCTTCTTCGTAGCCAGAGCTCGCAAATGTCCCACCTGGTACGACATGCAGGAGTGGTGGATCCCCACAACCCGACATCATACGATCCTCCTCTTCCCCTCTCTCTCTCCGCCTTCAAGTCTACCTCGCCCCAACCCTCGACGCCTTGCGGACGTCGCTATCATGCCATAGCCGTTGAAACTGTGAATGACTCTCCTGTACACCCACCCCACCTTCTCATATTAAAACTACCCCACCCCTGGCATTCCCTGCACCACCCCCAATCCGTCTATCAAATTCACCCCCATGCTCTGCTTTCGGTTTTTCGAAATCGGAAATGAAGGGAACTGGCGAAAAGGAGTAGAGGCAGGGCAGAGGGCAGAGGGCAGAGGGCAGAGGGCAGAGGGCAGAGGGCATGGCAGGGAAGGATCTGAGATGTGATGAGGACAGGGGTCACGATGAAGACACAGCGATAGGAAGAGGATGACAAGAAAAATCACGACAACAAAGGAAGATGCTGGACGGGATGGTCAAGGTAGGAAAGCATACATAGGCGAGAGGCTGCAGCCGAGGAAATATGGACGGAAAGGGAGTCCCATAGCAATAGGGAGAGAACTATAACGCTCACAGAATGTCCATTCTCAAAACCATCTCAGCTCATGAGTGGAAACGGCGAGTGAGAATTCTATTTCACCAATTTCAGGAAACGATCGAACTGGAGGGTAGCATGCCTGTTTTCAGGGTCGAAGTTCCATGATTAAGATTATGGCGTGCCCCGTCAAGGATCCGAGAGCGGATATCACCATGACGTTGACGAGATTTGTCAGGTTTCGCACATTCCATGGCGGATTTTGGGTTGGCCAGCAATGGAACTACGGTCATGTTCTCGTCCTGTGTTGATGATAGATATCCTCCTGAGAACATAATCGATGGGTAATCTGTTTGAATGTGATCTCATGACTCATCTGACATGTTTCGGTCAAGGAATGACAGCACTTTCTGGATCACAACGGGGCTGTGAGTCTTGTGCTGCTCCCTGAGGAATCGTTGACACATCGCTTTCAAGATATCCACAGCAATTTATTCTACAATTCGACGGCGATATCAAGATCGACCGTATCAAGACGATCACAACGGATGTAAGGAAACTCAAGGTCCTTCCACGTTGTGAGGGGAGCGAGGGACTCAAGTTTCTCCTTGCCAGTTGGAACGATGCACAGAGAAAGCGCCGACGAGCTTCGAGGAGATTCATCAAGTGGAGTTAGCACACAAGGGAGGAAGAGTTCAAGTCGAGTCGAGTCAGGTGCGCAGCCCTCAGCGACATGCAGGTGCTGAAGCTCTTGAGCAGATCAGTGGCAGCCCGACTGCATCCTTCTTGCGCGTCACGATTGAGAGCGGGTGGGATGACTTTGCTGCTGTGAGGCGGTTCACGATAGAAGGGAGCAAGGCTTGACTTGTGCGATAAATGTTTGCCGTCCTGTCTTGTGACTGGCATCTAATGTAGATTTTGTCATTACCTCGAAGCAATGTTAGTGAAAATTTCTTGACGTTGGTCAAGTGCGAATCAATAGAGGATGGTAACTGATCGGATGGCGTCAAACCGCTTCAGATCCTTCGGCTCTGCCTTGTGGAAATTTCTTCGCAAATCCACTCGACGAAGAGACTTGGATGAGGCCACTTGAATGAAGCGCAATGCACCGGCCAAGCTGATGTGTTGACACCTGACTGCATGACACGTCATCAGCTTCCCGCAGTTGTCGGCGATGGCCTCGAGCTCGTTGTCGCCTATGTTGGTGTGCGAGACGTTGAGAGTCTCGAGGGACATGCTGAACTCCGAGATGTACTTGAGGCCTCGCGGCGTCAGAGACTCGCACCACGCCAGGTTGAGCACCTTCAGCCCCCCGCACCGGCGCACTAGCATTCGCAGTCCGATGTCGTCGAGCAGCGAGACGTAGCTCAGGTCCACGTCCTCCAGGCTGGAGCAGTAGGTTGCGATGGTCTGCACGGTCTTGGAGGAGATGTTAGGCAGCATCATGCACTTGAGACTGATCAGCTGAGGACACTCGGACGCGAGCACCACGAGCGATCGATCAGTCAGCGTCATGTTGCCACTGAGATCCAAGCTGGAGAGATTTCGAACTCTCCGGATGTTCGAAACTCCTTCATCGCTGATGTTCTCACACCCGGACACGTCCAAGGAAGACAAGAGGGCGAGAGAGTCGATGATGGCGGCAAGAACCTCGTCGGTGAGGGCTGAGTTGAGGCTCAGGTCCAGGGTCCGCAGCGACTTGGAGAAACTGATGGCTCGGAGTCCTTCTGAGGTGAGCCCGGAGCACTGCGAGACTCCGAGCTGCCAGAGGTTTTGACAAGCGCTGGTGATCAGAATGATGGCGTCGTCTTTCAACCATGGGCAGCGATTGAGAATCAAGCTAGTGATCGTGATGTTTCCATGCGCAACGATCGAGAACACTGTCCGGTTCGTCAACTTTGAACAGCCGGCAAAGTTGATGTACTCAAGGCTGTTTTCACAAGACCGCATGATCCGATTGGCAGACTCATCTTGTATCCTGGATCAAGCATCAGTGATCTGCACGTTGCAATGGAAGTCCGTTCTTACCGTTCACAGTCTTCAAACTCCACACACCTGAGTTTGCCTGTGATTGTGTTTGCAAGCAGCTCGAATCCATCCTTGTCAATGTGTTTGCAGCCTGAGAGGTTGACGCTTTGAGTCTCCTCGAGCGGCGACAGTCGCAAGAAGAAGCTCAAGGCAGAAGAGGTGAGGTGCTGACAGCCCTTGAGGTTCACGTCGGTCCACGTGATGGGCAGGGAGCAGCACCTCCTCCACGTGCGGCTGACGCACCTCACCGTCTGATAGATGAAAGCAGAGTGCAACGTAGAGAAGAGAGCTGCCAATCCCAGACAGTCCTGGTCTGACTTGAGCTCTGAGATCCTGCACAGAGGTGTTCGGTTGTCAAACAGTGAGTTGTAAGTCTCCAGCAGGGTGATAGCTAGTCGTTTGTTGCTCGTGCTGACGGATCTATCCCAGAAGACCTCAGACACTTTCAACGACATACTGTTCTGTGACATGAGGTATGTCGCTCGAGTCTCCCCGCACAGGGCCAACAAGGCGCTCAGCGACTCATGCAGCATGCTCGCGGAGTGTCTTGCCACAACGAACTCGATCAACTTCGGAACTGCTCCGTTGCCGATGATTCTAGCGCGTAGCTGAGGGAGACGCAGCAGAGCTTTGCGATCGCTGCCGTACACCCCTCCTTCACCATCAGATAGGGGCTTGTCTCGAGGTAGTCCACCAGCATGTAGATAATCTTCCCTTCCTGCGCATGCTCTGCGCACTCTCTGTTGGAGATGATCTGTACGAGCGCGCTCAGCGCCCGTTGCCTGACTGAGTGAGAGACTATGTTGAGCATCCTCAGCAGATGCAAGATGCAAGTTCGCGATTCAGGAATGGCTGGGATAACCGCCAGCACGGCTGCGCCTGCCCCTCGGACCTCGAGGTCGTCATCCTGAAGCATTCGCTCTATCTTGAACAGCAGAGCCTTGCATTCTAAAACCTTCTTGCTGTATCCCAGCTCAACCACTGACACAAGAATGTCGCTGCTAAGTATCCTTGTTGTTGAACACGTCTCTCCCAGCAAGGTCACGAAACGAGTCAGCCCGTTCATGGCTATCAGAGCTTGACACACTTGCTTCGCATCGAAGTCGGACGCGGAGGACAGCAGGTCAGCAATATCCTTGAGTGCAGCAGTCCTCTTGCTTCCTCCGAAGGTGATCAACTCGAACAGTGAGGAAAGAAAGCCTTCAATCTCATCCGCCTTGTTCTCCGCCGCCCGGAGACTCGGCTGCGGGACCAATTGTACGACAGTGTTAAGATTCCAGTTTCCATGAGACGGGCGGAGAGGATGAGGAGTAGGTCTCCCGATAGACGAGCTCGCCGTCCTCCTCTTGTTCATCCCTACCTTCTCCCGGCCTTGTTCACCTCGTCCTCCCGAGTCCCGGAGTCCTTTCCCTTCAATGTGCCAGTTCTAGTATCTCGTCCCCGGAGTCCTTTCCCTTGTTCACCTCGTCCTCTTCCTCTTCAATCCAGGGCCTCCTCCTCCACTGCCCCTCTTCACCTTCTCCTCTTCCTCTTCATCTCCCGGCCCTCCTGCCATGTCGGCGCTCACAGTCAGTCACGGCGCGGGTCTGGCGATGAGTTCGGTTCACGGTTACTGACTCAGCCGGCCCTCTTCCCCGCTCTGTCCTCCGTAGGAACGTACCTGTACAGGTACCTGTACCCCACCCAACTTCTTGTTGCACCCCAACTTAAGAGGCCCCTACCCCATGCTTAATCTGAATTGTCTCGATTGAAGGTGGGGGTACTTATGGTATGTTAGATAACCCCCACCCCTCAAAGCGGGAGGCCGCATCGGTGTGAGGGATAAAAGAATGAACAGGGGGAGCAGCAGAGGAAGGCAAGTAGCGCAGAGAAGAGGAGAATAGCACAAGATAGGTAGGAGAGGAGAGTAGGAGGGGAGAGGAGAGTAGATCGAAGATGAGGGCCAGGGTAAGTGTAGCTCAAACAACATGGAAACAAGGGAGTAGGGAACAGGTATGACCTAGTGGCTGTGACCTCAGGAAAGGAACGATTGGATTTTCCCTTATGACATGAATGTCGAATGCGGAGAGGCTGAATTGAAACCAGAGCGATGTGTTGATCTTTCCCCGTCGTCTTACCTCTTGGCTTGTTGCAGGGAGGTTTCACCACTATGCCGCACTTCTTTGGGGCACGAGTAGATGGTGTAATCATGACTGGACTGAGGGCAGGACGGCAGGGGCTCATTCACTTGTCGCAAGCTCAAGGATGCATCAGCAGGAAACTCTCCACGTCCAAGGGCAGCGATCTCAATGCGATGGGAAGGACAAGCAGCATGGACCTGCTGAATCCCATTCCAGTGAAATCAAGAGGCAAGCAGGTCACAACATCTGAGCAGAGGAAAGACTTTCTCCGTGAGGACATTCCCTCGGTGAAGCGAGTCGTCATCAAAGTGGGCACCTCTGTTCTCACGCGGGACAATGAGTTTGGAGTGTCTTTGACTCGTCTCGCAAGCCTGGTCGAGCAGGTCAGCGCGCTAGTTCACTCGGGGAAGGAAGTAATCATCGTGACCTCTGGAGCTGTTGGCTTCGGCAAGATGAGGCTTCAAGTTCAGAACGTGCTGTCTCAGACCGTGAGGAACACTCTCTCCTGGGGAGCAAACGCTTCCCCTCCCTCGTTGGACTCTCGAGCCTGTGCTGCCGCCGGGCAGTCAGGGTTGATGACCCTTTATGACGCCATGTTTTCCCAGTATGGAGTGTCGATCGCGCAGCTTCTCGTGACGATGTCAGATTTTCAGGTCGATGCTCATCGCGCAAATATGTGCGAGACGATCAAGGAGCTGATCAAGCTGGGAATCGTCCCAGTCTGCAACGAGAACGACGTCTTCTACAGCAACACGGAGTCACGGGAGTTCATTATGAGCCATCAGAACACGACCATAACATCGTTCAATCCGAATTTCAAACAAAACATTGACAACGGTATCGACGACGGTGTTGACCGAGGGGACAAAGTCGTACGTCTTACCGCCAACGACTCGCTGTCTGCTCTTCTTGCCGTGGAGCTCGACGCCCAGCTGATGATCGTGCTGAGCAATGTGGATGGGCTATACACAGCTCCTCCAGGTCGCCTGTCGTCCATGGGAGCCACTCCAAAATTATTGCACACGTTCAACCCCGACGATCCTCAAATGGAGCGACTGGAGTATGGCCGGGACCGGCGAGTCGGACGAGGAGGCATGGCGGCTAAGGTGGACGCGTCAAAGTTTGCGCTGAACCATGGAGTACACTGCATCCTTGCCAATGGTCATCAGCATGACGTCATCTCCAAGATATTCGAGGGCAGGACCATCGGCACCTTGTTCACCCGCGCGGCTGGACGCGACTCGACGCCCTATGTCAAGGGAACGGAGGCGAGGAGCGCTTCTCGGGAGATGGCAAAGTTGCCTTCCAGTGTCAGGAAGAAGGTCCTTGAGCAGATCGTCAAGGATATCACGAGGAAGGAAGACGTCATCCTCGCAGCAAACAACGAGGATCTGCAAGAGGCGCTGAGAGCCATCAAGTCCGAGGGCGCCGTCGGTTCAGACCACCGACCTGACCAGCTCCCTCTCTCCCTGTCAAAACGCAAGTTAAGGTCGCTTGTCCAGAAGATCGACCAGATGACGGCGACGGCTGGCAATGTCGTGGGTCGGAATGTGAAGTGGTGTAAGGTGACGGACGGGCTCTATCTTGAGCAAGAGACTGTTCCCATTGGAGTGGCTCTGTGCGTGTTCGACAAGGCTTGTCCTGACGTCGTTCCCCTCCTGGCAAGTCTCTGCATTGCCTCCGGCAACGCTGTCATCTTCAAGTCCTCGCGCGAAAGCTTCCACACTACTCAGATCTTCCACTCGATCATCATCTCTGCGCTGAAAGCAAACAATATCTCCGAGAACGCGGTCATCAACCTGGAAGGACGAGACAACCTCGAGGACTTCTTGGTTCTGCAGGATCAGATCGACATGGTGATCCCGCGAGGATGCAAGCAGCTCATAGAGTATGTCAACACGCGCACCAAGATTCCCGTCCTCGGAGACACTGAGGGCCTCTGTCACGTGTACGTTCACAACGACGCAAATCTGGAGGTTGCAGCTCGAGTGCTGGTGGACTCCAAGTGTGAAGCAAGTTATGCTGGGAGGTATGGAGTGGAAACCATCCTCGTGCACTCCCATTGGATCGAGACTGGCAAGTTCGAGGAGCTGTTGGAGCCCCTCACCAGCAAAGGAGTCGCTCTCTTCGCCGGCCCTCGCCTCCGCGCTCAGTTCAAGTCTCAGTCTGCCAAGATGCCTCCTGCATGGTCTTTGAGATGCGAGTATGGATCAAGCGGGTGCGCTGTTGAGGTTGTTGACAGCCTCGAGGAAGCGATCCAGGTGCTGCTGCTGCTGCTGCTGCTGCTGCTGCTGCTGCTCATTTTGACTTGAATGTGTTGCTAGCATGTCAACGATTACGGAAGCCATCACACGGATGTCATCGTTTGCGAGAGCGGTTGATTCCTCCTCCTCATCCTCCTCCTTCTCTCCTCCTCCTCCTTCTCTCCTCCTTCCCTCTCCCTCCGCTCCTCTCCCTCCAGTCATGAGTTCTTTGTCAGAAATGGACTCGCGCAAGTTCTCGAGGGAAGTCGATAGCGCCTGTGTCTTCCAGAACTGCAGCACGCGATTCTCAGAGGGATACAGGTCGAGCCTCATCCTCTTCCTTCTGGCCCTCACCTCTTGTTGTAGCTTTGGGCTTGGAACTGAGGTGGGAGTGACGACCAAGCGAGTGCCCATGCGAGGGCCGATCGGGATTGAGGGGTTGATGACTTCCAAGTACATCTTGAGGGGCAAGGTAGAATAGAAGAGCTCCTTTCTCTCAAGGCTGATCCTGTTGCTTCAGGGGCATGCAGTCGCGGACATCGCAGACGGAAAGTCAAAATGGTGAGTGTGGGAGTAGGGAAGAGGGGAGGAGGAGAATCTGATTGTGACTCAGGGTCCACGAGAAGAAATGTGTCACTTGCGGTTTGCAAGTGCGCGACTAAGCGATGGATTAAGATGTAAGAAGCTCTTAAAGTTCTCACACACTTTCTGAGCCCCAACACCTGGAGTGATGGTAGTCAGTGCCCCCCTCCCTCAACACCTGGACGGTGATGGTAGTCACACGGTGCCCCCCCTCCCTCAACACCTGGATGGTGATGGCTGTCTGCTGCCGCTCGTCGCCATTACGAGTAAAACAAGACTCAAGACTGGGGAAGGGGAGGGAGGGGGGGCACTGACTACAGGAAGAACCTGAATGAGAAGAACTGTCAGCTATCTGAGGCGAACTTGCTATTGAATTTGACTAAAACATATTCCGGTCGGTGACAAGACGGTGGCAGGATGAAGCCTCACCTGATGGTGCTCTGGTGGGTGGGGCTGGTGCTGCTGACCTCGCTCATCCTCCTCCTCCTCCTTCAGCTCAGAAGGAGCAGGCAGCATACAGCTGTCAGTGACAGGGAGGAGAGACGAAACCGACAAAAGATGTTGAAGAAAGCAAAGTCAAACCCTGCCGCAGTCACTCCGGCACAAGCTCATGCTGAAGCAGAGAAGGTAGAGGTGGTCCCAAGGAAAGTTAGGAGAAGAAACCTGGAGGAGAGAGCAAAGGAGGCAGCGAAGCAGAATCCTGATCTCCCGGTATTCGAGGGGAAGGCAGAGGATCCGAGGCTGTCGAAGCCAACCAACAAGGTACAGCAGGCAGACGAATTTCTCCAGCAGGTGCGCAGGCTGCCGCCAACTGCAAGGAAGGAGCTGGAGGCATCAGCGAATGTGAGCAAAGCCTGGTGGGGAAACCCCTTGCAAGTCTCCGATGAGAACACAACGAGAATCGAGATGAAGGTGAAGGGCAGAGGGGACGGCTGTTCGCACCTCCTCTCCCTGGTGTTGACCATCCCGCCTCGGTATCCTGCTCAGCCTCCACATGCAGAGCTCTCCTCCTCTGAGGTATCGGAAGCAGCCCTCGCCCACTTGAAGGCATGGTTGACGTCGCGAATGAGGCAGTGGGAAGGCAGCGCCATGCTGACAAGAATCTTCGACTTGCTCGAGAGCGACGCAGCTCGGGTTGCGCACGAGTTCGACGTCACGAGCTGGAGCGCAGCAGAGCAGGAGAGTCTTGAGGCTGCACTGCGAGCCGCTCCTGCTTCCATGGACGCCAACGAAAGGTGGGAGGAGATCGCGCGGCTTGTGCCCGGGAAGAGCAGGCAGCAGTGCGTCGCACGCTTCAAGTTTGTGCGAGAGAGGCTGAACAAGCAGACCGTCGAGCCTCTGGCTGATGAATGGTTGGATGAACAGGCTGATGGTAATGAGCATGCTGGAAGAACCCGCCACGCGCGCGATGACCTGATGAACTTGGGCTTCATGGAAGAGGAGCTCGTCGAGGAGGAGGAGGAGGAGGACACTGACTCTGGAAGTGAAGATGGAGAGGAGGAGTCTGATCTTGATGATGACGAAGAAGATGAGGATGGAGCGAAAATCTTCATAGGGGAGGGAGAGGAAGGAGCAGCAGGCAGGCATCAAGGCACTCAGATCAGGATCGATCAAGCGCTCTTCCTCGGAACCTCTGTGGCTCAGATTTCTCAAGTTCGTCTCCTTCTCGCCTGCGAGAGATGTGGGACGCAAGTCGAAGCTTCCTGCGGGCGGCAGAGGGCATGGCAGAGGAGCTGCTCCAAGTGCAAGAGGGAGCTGACCGCTGGTTTCCGCCCCGACATTCTGCATCCCTCGAACTCGAGCGGAGGGTATCTCGACCTCACAGCATGTCTCGTGCAGCAGCTTCTTCCCATCGACCTCTGGCTTGCTTGCAGTGCTTGTGGCATGGAGTCTGCCGTCAGGAACGTTCGCTCCTCCACCCGAGCTTCCGTCTCCTGCTGCGGCTGCTTCGCGCAGATGTGCTTCGGCTTCGGGGGCAGCAGGCTCATCACCGTCTCCTCCACCTCCAGCGTACCTGGAGGAGGAGGAGGGGAGGGCGGGGACGGGAGGAAGAAGCTCAAAGCTGTGCCGAGGAAGAAGGAGGAGGGGCTGGTGGTGGGAACTCCGCTGCCCAACAAGGGCGCGTGCTCGCACTTCCGGCTGTCGCGGCGATGGCTCTGCTTTCCCTGCTGCGGTCGCGCGTTTCCCTGTCCTGTCTGCCACGACGAGGCTGTCAAGGGCGAGCACGAGACGATGTGGGCAAGCAGGATGATCTGCGGTAGCTGCAGCCGCGAGCAGCCAGTCCACAACAAGCAGTGCGAGTGCGGAGCGAAGCCGTGCGGAGGGACGGCGAGGAACTGGCAGGGAGGGGCGGGCCTGCGAGACAGGAGCAAGCTGGACAAGAAGGACAAGCGACACACAGACGCCCGATGGAGCGAGAAGAAGACGACGAGCAAGAAGAAGGAGCGGGTGGGAGAAGCCGCGAAGAAGAAGAGGGAAGAACGAAAGGAGGGGAAAGCGAAGGCTTGAAGGGAGGAGGGAGGAGACAGCTTGTCTTGGTTCATCTTCACCCATATCTCGTCCTTTACATCCTTCCCTGCTCGTCTATTTTGCCCTCCTCTTCTCCTCTCCTTCGCTTCTGCTCTGCCATCTCCGTTTCAACTCCACCAGCCTCCTCATCGCCGTCAGCTCTTTCCCCAGGTCCTCTGACGCCGACGTGAAGTTGGCGCTCAGCGCAAACCTGCACGCAAGTCAGTCCAGCTGACCCACAACAGCTTCTCTCGTACATCTCCCGACGGAGACCTGCTGGGAGGCTGCCGTAGAGCTTCTCGGGGTCACAGGAGGCGACCAGGAGCGAGAGGAGGAGCGCGCTCGTGCGCGAGGCCCTCCAGCTGCCGATGCCATGCCGCACAAGCTCGTCCTGCTCACTAGATCATTTCCACCACCACCACCTCCTCCTTCCCCTCCCCCCTCTTGCTCCTCTCCTGCTGTTGTCTCATCACCTGTAGGATAAACTCTACCCGAGTGTAGAGGGTAGTAACCCGGGCAGTGTCCAGCACCTGAAGGAGGGTGAGGCCTGAGGCAGTAGTAGCTCCTGCTCCTGCTCCTGCTCCTGCTCCTCCATAATCCTTCCTACCCACCATCTTCTGCTCTATCCTTCTCCTCAGCTCTTCCTCACCTGCCACAGAGTCTCTCGGTGGAGGGGAAGGAGCCCTTCCCCGTGCGCCACGATCCTCTCGTAGCGATGGAGGTGCTGAACGAGATGCCCCCGAGACCTGAGGAGGAGGATGAGGAGAGGAACGAAGCTGACAGGAGCTGGTACATCGCAGCAGCGATCAGAGCTGCTAAGACGCCTCCTGGGTCCCTCGCGTGCTGGATGACTGGCGGAGCCATGCTCTGACACGAGCATCAGAGGGGCGAGATGCAGGGAGAGAAAGAAGACGAAGAAGAAGAAGAAGAAGATGATGATGATGAAGACGTGCAAGAAGAAGTAGAAGAAGAAGAAGTAGTAGAAGATGCAGGATGAGGAGGAGGAGGAGGAGGAGGAGAAGGAGAAGGAGAAGGAGGAGGAGTAGATGATGATGATGATGAGGAGGAGGAGGAGGGTGACGATGAAAACAACGAGGAAGAGACAGCGGCCTACCTCGAGCGCAAGGATAAAGTCCTGCATAGGGAGCAGGTTTCCTCCTAAATCTCTAACACAGAAGAAGCTCAGCAAGCCCGTCTGCTGCTCTTCTGCTGCTCTCCTGCTCCCATCAAGCCGCATGAGATTGAAGCAGGGTAAGGAGGAGGGAGGAGGAGGAGGGGAAGGTGGTGGTGGAGGAGAGGGAGGAGGAGAGGGTGGAGGAGAGGGTGGAGGAGGAGGGGAGGAGGAGAAGGAGGAGGAGAAGGAGGAGGAGAAGGAGGAGGAAGATGAGATGGAGATGTTCTCACTTGACCGTGATGAAACCTCTCTGTTGCCCTGAAGTTGCCCGGTGAAGAGGAGGAGAGATGCTTCTCCACAACTCCTTGAGCGACATCCAGTACACCCTCTCTCCTCCTCCTCCCTTCCCGACCTCAAGCACCAACGTAATGTCGCGAGCAGCCGAGTAGGCGCAGAGACACGCGAAGGAGGAGGAGGCGGACTGATCGTCCTCGTGGCACATCAGGGCAATGACACCGACAGGCGCCTCCTCCTCCTCCTCTCTCACGACTCCACGCTCATCGATGTCGGGCGTCGAGCCAAACACAGAGGAGCGAAGGACTTGGCGAAGCTCCTCCTCCTCCGACTCCTCCGCAAGGTGCACGCGGACTGACGCTCCTGCTACCTCGCCGAGGTCAGCGAGAAGCTGCAGGCTAGCATCGCTCTCTGCTTGAGGAGGGAGGAGGAGGCGGAGGGAGGAGGCGGAGTGCCGCTGCCACGGCCCCTTCCACAACCTTCCGCCTTCTAGCTGCACAGCATTGAGAACGAGAGCAAGAGCTGCGAGGTGGCGGAGGTGAGGAGCAGGAGAAGGAGAAGCAATCTCCAGCACTCTCAGCGTCATCGCTTCCCCCCGCGGGCCAGACGTCTTGAGGATTTTCCTTCCTGTCACAGGCTCACTGCAAGCAACTTCCTTTCTCCTCCCTCCACTCCCTCCTCACCCGCTGCCTCCCTCCCCCTCCCTCCCTTCGCCCGTCTCCTCTCTCCTCTCAATCATCACCTTCTTCCGTACTGAGGCCAACGAGGTGGGAGGGGAGGGGCAGGCGATACATGGCGAGCAAGCTCGGTTCTGCTTCCTCGTCGTCTCTTCGCCAACTGCCGGCGGGAGGAGACGAGCATCGCGTGCTCTGCTCGAACTTCTGCCGCTCCTGCAGCTGCTCCAGCAGGTCCTGAATCTTCTCCGCCTGCTCCTTCAGCTCCATCCTCCTCTCTGCCGCGTACTTCTCGAACTTCGCCCTCTGCACCCGCAGATCTCCGAGCTTTCCCTCCCCGAGCTGCTCTTCTTTCTCCCTCTTGAGCTCTGCCAGCCTGTTGACAATCAGCAGAAAACAGTACGAGGAGGAGGAGGAGGAGGAGGAGGAGGAGGAGGAAATTTGACAGAGAGACGGTAGAAGCACCTGTAGCCGGAGTAGGTGGCAGCTTTGATGAGATGCTTGAGCTCTTCGCTGCTCATCCCTCCTCCTGCTCTCTCAGCGTCGAGTTTCAGCTGCTGCATCGCATCTTTTTCGCTTCTGATTCTTTCCTCGAAAGCCTCTCTTCCCTCCCTCTGCGCCTTCACCATCATCTCCAGCTCCTGCAGCTCCTCCGACTTCTCCTCGTCCTGCAGCTCCTCCGCCTCCTCCTTCACCTCTTCAGGCTCCTCCTTCCAGTCCTCAAGGGCCTCAGTGATAGACTGAAGTTTCTCCGCGATCTCAGCTGCTTCCTCTCTCCCTCCTCCTTGGCCGCGCCCTTCTCCCTCCAGCTTACTTTCCTCCCCGCTCATTGTTTCTGTCGCTTCCGCTACCGCGTCTGCAGCATGCTGGAGCCGAGAGCGGTACATGGTCCAGTACAGCTCTCGCGCACGCTCCTCCTCCGTCTTCCCCTCCTCGCGCTCTTTTCGTATCCTCTGCAACTCTTCTTCGCTGATCAGGCTTCCCCGCCACAGCTTGCTGATCCCATCGATCAGCGGCTTCGCAAAGTTCTCCTGCCTCTTCATCTTCCCCGTAAAGATCTTCATCCGCTGCGCCATGCCCTCCACCCTTCCTTCCCGCCCTCGTGTCCCTTCCTGCACCTCCGAGCTGCCGACCTTTCCTGCCTCCTCCTTGTTCCCTTGCCCCTCTTCTCCCCCCTCCTTCTTCTGCTCTTCTTGCCTGTCTTGCTCGAGCTCCTGCTGCTGCTGCTGCTGCTCTTGATACACCTCAGGCTCTCTGGCAAACTTGCTCGCAGCTTGTCTGCTAGGAGGATGCGATGGCGGCAGCCCCCGAGCTCCTCCTCCCTGCCTGTTCACCGACCAGAGGCGCACAGAGCCATCGCGGGAGGAGGAGGCGAAGAAACTGCCGTCAGGAGGCAGCGCAACGTTGGTGATCATCTTGCCATGCCCGAGCACGACAGCAAGGCACCTCCACTTCCACCTCTCACCCTCCTGCAGCGGCTGCAGCTGCATCCTGTCTCCTCGCTCCACGGGGCCCCACACCCTCACTGAGTTGTCGCTTCCCCACATCAAGTTTCCCTCCCCCGAGATCAGCAGCTCTCCTCCATCGCCTCCTCTTGCGTCGAACGCTAGCGTCCTGACCGCTCCCCTGTGGCCAGACAGCGAGCTCACGACCTCCCCGTCCTCCACTCGCCACAGGCGGATGACGGAGTCGCTCCCCCCCGAGGCGAGGAGGTGACCTGAGGGGCTGAAGGAGCAGCACCAGACCTTGGCTTGCGCTCTGCCTCCCAGCACTCTCAGCTGCTCTCCGCTCTTGGTGCTCCAGAGGCGCAGGGAGCAGTCGAGGGAGCCGGAGGCCAGGAGGCGATCAGAGGGGTGGAACGAGAGGCAGGTGACCTCCTTCTCGTGCCCCCGCAGGGTCCGCGAGACTTCACCGTCGGACAGGCGGAAGAACCGGATCAGCTTGTCGGAGGAGGCGGCGGCGATGAAAGTGCCGAGAGGGTCGAACGAGCAGGCGAGGAAGTTGATCCCTCCCGCTCGCATCACTCGCACGCACTTCCCGTTGCTCACGTCCCACACGCGCAGGGACCCGTCGAAGGAGGCAGAGACGAGCAGCTCCCCCGACGGCGAGAAGCTCAAGCTGTAAACCCACTCAGAGTGACCGCGAAGAACGCGCAGGCACTCTCCGTCCATCCGCCATAGCCTCACGATACGATCTCCTCCTCCACTCGCAAGGAGGGGGACCAGCGGGTGGAACGCACAGCACCAGACCGGAGCCTCATGCTCGTTCAGACTCCGAACCTCCTCCACCTCGATCGACTCAGGATAACCGCCCGGCAACGAACCAACCGGAGCCTGCGCCCTTGTTCCATACAAGCCATCCCCATGCTGATGGCCACATTCCTGCTCCTCTACCCTCCTCTCTTGCTTGGGGGTGCAGGGATACCATGAAACGACCGAGGGAAGACAACGGAAGGCGCTCGGAGGCTCCAGCACGGTGACCTCGCGGTTCGAGGATGCCAGAAGTTCGTCGCCACCGTAAGATCGAGCGATCAGATTCTCGGCAAGAGCGACTCGCCTCTTCTCGGCTTCAAGAGCAGCAACAAGCTCTGAGATCCGACGGTTGCTGTCCTCAAGCTCTTGTTCCAGAGATCCCGTCATCCTCCCCGGGATCTCGTCTCTTCGCTACTCTTCCACTTGTGCTGCTGGGAGGCCTTGAGCTCAGCTCGCACACCCTTCACAACCTTCCTGCCTCCTGCCTCCTGCCTCCTGCCTCCTGCCTCCTGCCTCCTGCCTTCAACACCCACAAGTTCCTGCTCTGTCCTCTGGTCCCTCGTCGTCCACTCTCACTCCGTCCTTGCTTCCCCTCCGCTCTCCCCGATTCCTCCTTGTGCTGACTCGTCGCCCTCTACCTCATCACCCTCATACCCATCATCACCCTCGTCCCACGTAGCCCTCATCCCCTCATCTCTTACTCATCACCCTCATACCCTCCGGGACCCACTGCAAACTGAGCCTGCCTCGGAGATGCCTCAAGGCTGATCTCAAAGATTCAGGTCGGGGCATGTGTATACGAGGGTCTAGGAGGGGGGGTAAAGGTCACTGATTTCATATGTCTTGATATAATGGATAGAGAAGATCCTCGGACTTGTTGAATCCAGGTCATATGCAAGTGTTGTTCAAGAATGGGGGTAGGGGTACTTATTTACTACTCAATACCGGTGTGATGCCACATGCAACATTTGGGAATAGGTGGGGTAGGGTCATCGATCTCCCTATCCATTCGGGGTAGTAAAGGGTGGGGTAGGGTGTAAAAGATTTGCCGTTGAGGCCGCTCGCCTTTTCCTGACCCCCCCCACCTGCTTCTCTCCTCCTCCTCCTCCTCCTCAAGCCCTCTGCTTCTGCGAGCTCCCTTCTCCTCGCCTCGTCTCATCTCCATCTCAAGATCTTGCAACCATGATCTTCATCAGGCCGGACGATGAGCAATCTACGACAACCGTTCATGGTAAAGCTCCCATGTACGAGGATAGGGGAGGAGACGCAAAGTCCTTTGCTCGAAGAGGAAACGCCCTGTCGGATGTCACCAACTACCTCCAACCAAACTCATCAAAGCAGAACTTTCAGCAGGCAGACATGGCAAAGAAACGGCAGATGACATCAGGAGGGTTAGGACGGATTGATCCGATGCATCAGAGCATGAAGCCTGCAGGCAAGCAGTTGCATCATGACGCTTCTCGGCAATCCATGCAGTCATATTATGTTGACCAAGAAAACCAATACAAGACTATGCAGTACCCTCAACCTCAACAGAAGAAGCTACAGCCACAGCAGCAGCAGCAGCAGCAGCAGCAGCAGCAGCAGCCGCAGTCGGTTCGCCTGCAGATCCAGCAAACTTCAGGCACTAGACAGCAGACCACCTTCCAACCCCCGCAACAGCCACACCATCAGCAACAATTTCAGCGCCATCAGCAGCATCAGCAGCAGCAACAACTACTTCTACAGCAGCAGCAAGTACAGCAGCAGCGCCAGTACCAAACGCAGCAGCAGCAGCAGCAGCAGCAGCGTGGACAGCAAGGATCCTTCCAGTTCTTCCCTCTCTTCAACCGCCAAGTCTACCAGGCCCGAGATCAAGCGCCTGTTCGGAGCCAGCAGGTCCAGGCATACAGTCAGTACCAGTCGAGCGATTACATGGCCGCGCGATCTGCTGACTTGCAGCGACAAGCCATGAACAGGGGGGCACCAGCACCTGCCGACCTGACTTATCAGATGCTCTACTCTGCCCAAGTCGCCAGCGTGCCGACGGCTTTTGCTCAGTCTTACATGATACCTCAGAAGAACAGGAAGAAGAAGCGAACTGGAAAGAAGCAGCCTGTTGTTCGGGGTTACAACCCCCTCCTCAGCCCCCTCACCGAGAACACCCTGGGTGAGTTGTCAACCCCCGCCAGGACGGAGCTGGAGAAGGAGATCTGTGCTAAGTACTCGATCCCTTACATTCCGTCGCCTCTGGCTGATGCAGATGAGGTCGAAGTTCTGGTCACCCAAGAGAATGCGCGGCCCGGAGATGTGGTGAAGATTGCCAAGGAATTCGCTCGACTTCCCTTCTTCAGAAAGTACTCAGGACGAACAGGTGGGATGTTTGTAGGTCATGCTGCGGCCTATTGAGGCTGACTAGTTCGTCTGACAGGTCTCTTGTTGCGAAGCTGCGAAGCTCCTGGAGGGAGCGGGTGGATTGTGAACTTTGGGGAGCATCTTGGAAAGCAGTTTTTCTGCACAGGAGGGGAAGGAAAGATGAATCACCTGGCGCATTACATCCCTTCCAGAAAAGATTTCATCGACGAGACCCTTACACGAAAGTTCCTCGACGAGTCTTTCAAGGCAACGCAGGAGCAGAGCAGGAAAGAGAGTGCGGATCACAGGTCGGCGGTCAAGAGGGAGGAAGCAAAGTCTTCGACGGTGTTGCGCGAGAAAACGCAGGACGGAGTTAACGGCCATCATAGCAAGTCGAAGCGACATGTCGATCAGCTGGAGGCCCCTGGTAGTGAGAGGGACGACGAGCCTGCGCTCGAGTCTGCCCAGAAGATGTCCAAGAATACGCAGGATGTTGTAGCTGAGAGTCAGCTGGAAGACAGGAAGAAAAGCTTTTGGATCCCAGAGCTGCAGTCCTTGTACTCTGACATCGACGCTCGAGGTCGAGACAAGGTTGAAGCCGCAAGTCTTGTCGTGTCTCTTGTCTGATGTTGTCGATCCCAGGCTCACCAGCCTTGTGCTTCCATTGCCGCCAAGAACGAGACTCAAGAAGCGGGAAACAGCAGTGCCAGTCAGGGGGAGGTAACAAAGAAACCCGATGAAGAGAGGTAGAGCACTGACATGGGGGATGCAGAAGAAGAAGCAATCGACGAATGTTCTCGGAGCATCCGAATGCAACAAGATTGGTAGCGACAACAGCGCGCAAGGGAATGTTGAAGGACGCCAGCAAGAGCTGGGAAAGGAGGGCGGCAGGTAAGAAACTTATCCTCCTGCTCCAGCCTTTGATTTCTCTACGTAGCGAGAGAAAGTTGAAGCTGCACAACCCCCTCGATCTCCTCAAGGTAGGCTGAGGGCCCTTCCTGCTCCTGCTCCTGCTCCTGCTCCTGCTCCTGCTCTCTCACTCAGGCTCTTCCTCGTCCTCTCACTCTTCTCCTCATCATCATCTTGATCCTCATCTTCTGATGTCTGACTCGAGCGGCAGCATGGATCCCCGACGTTCTGGTTGGCTTAATGATCTGATCTGATCGCCAACACATACTAACAGCTGGAGCCGAGCTGAACTGACAACTGAGATGAGACTACTAATGTGAGAAAAATTAAATATCTCGCTTCTGGTACACTATGTACATGCACACAACAAAACCTTGCGGCCCCGGGTCTCTTCCGCCCATCAGTCTCCTCCTCCTCCCGGTCGTCCGACGTCGTCTCGCCGCAGTGAGCGACCGGGCCCGCCGCCGGGTGACTCACTCGCGGAAGTTTGCCTAAAAAAAGAAGAAACTGTAAAAGAAAACAAAAACTTTTTTTATTTTTCGTGAGGTATGGCGCGAGCAGGGATAGCGGTGATGGTGATGCTGGTTCACTTGACGGGAGGAGGAGAGACGAGGAGAGGAGGAGGAGGAGGAGGAGGAGACCTGGAGGAGATCAGACTGGCGCATGCTGGTAGCTCCTACCTGAACCTCCTCGATACAAGAAGGAGATGCGACTCCTCGAGCTTGAAAATGGTTAAAACACTTGGCTTTGCCATGCTGGCTTAGGGCGACTAACTTTCTTGGCATCTAGTTACGCTTGAGAGGAGGACAAAGAAGAAGATATGAGGGAAGTCAGGGAACCAGGAAGAATGATGACAGGAGGCCAGGCAAGCATGCTCTTCAGTAAATTTTCAGAATCCGCTCACTATGTTTCAGATTCGTCGCCTAGGATGTTCTTGTTGGTGTCGATGACAGACTCAGCCGACCCTGGTTCATGTTCACAAAGCAAAACAAGTATCTGACAGTCATGCAACAGAATGCATCGTCAACGATGTGATCAAAGCCTGCGCTGAAGATGTAGAAAGCAACGAAGACGAACCATTTCCGTCAATTGGTCGCACCGTCAGGTGCTGTGCATATGTGGCAGGTGGCTGATGTGACTGGAACGTGAGCAGGTTGTCGAAGAGATGTACTGGAGTACATTCAAAGCGAGCAACGTTCTTGCTGGCTCCACGGAAGGACCCCACCCATCTCCTAGATCTCCTCAAGGTCGTGGACGGAGTAATTCTATTGCACGCAGGTGAAGTTGACTCCCTCCCTTTTCCCTCTCCTCATCTTCAAGCCCAGGCGTTGAAATGCCTTCTCCCTCCTCCATGACGCACTCGCTCGACGGCTATCGGCTCCTTCCTGGTGGCCATGGTGCTCTGGCAGTGAACCTTCTGCGAGCTCAAGGGCTACCTGCTATCGTCGCTGCCTCGTACGATGACAAGAACCTGTCGTCGTCAGTGAACGTCAAGGTTGCCTCAGCTTCTCGTCCTCCTTGTGACCGCAGCATGCAGATTCGGAAGGGGAGGGCGCAGTTTCTATGCGCAGGTACGAAGCAAGGGCAGTGAGTTATCATGACGATTTCGGCAGAGGGACTGGGCGAGGAGAAGGATTTGAGACCGTTCGACCTGCACGACAAGCAGCAAGTTGAAGGTGTGAGCGCCTCGTGGGTCTTGTTCGATGACGAGGATGGGGCAGGCATGATCCGCTCTCTCATGAACCGAGAGCCCAAAGGGCCGGCATGGCGGCAACCATACGCCTACATGATGGCGAGCAATTGCTACTTCTCCTCCTACGTGAACAGCTCAAGTGAGGCCGATGAGATGCTGGAGAATGGGAAGGAGGGGACGAGCGAGAAGCTCGTGACTACCGTCGTGATCGAAGGATTCCTCCGCTCCCGGCCTCTGAGCGCGGATCAGCTCGTGCACGTGTCAGGAGTTGGAACGTTCAAAGTTCACTCGATCTCGCTGACTTCTCCAAGCAAGGAGTTGATCAGCAAGAGGAAGTTCTCACCGACAGAGAAAGTCGGAGAGCAGGAGAGCCGACCAGAGAACGATCAGGAGGACGAGAGTGAACATGCGAATCTGGATGTCGGTGATGACGATGACGATGACGATGACGATGACGATGAGGAGGAAGGGGAGCACGGACCAGCTTCTAAGAGGCTCCGTAAACCAGAATACTTTCAAGATTGGGAAGGTGCCGCAGTTGACGGCATTTCTGAAGCCGAAGAGGTAGGAGACCATAAGGAGGGCAGGCAGGTCGAAGCAGCCGGTGGAGTGAGAGAGGAAGGGAGCAACGTTTCTGGGATCCAAGAGCGGCTCCAGGAGGTTAAGACGAAGCGACACATTGCAAGCTTGTTCGTGGGGACGGAGAAAAAGAAGATGCATCCTCATACCGCCTCCTTCCTCGACGAGCGAGACCCTTCCAACCCCCTCAAGATGTTCTCCAACCTTCGTTCCCTCTCTGCTGCCCAGCAAGCCCTGCCGCTTGATGGCAAAGCTGACGGCGAAGTGAACGGCGTTGCGCTTGTTTCCCATCAAGGCGGCAAGGCTGAACGGCGACTGCGAGCGCAGCTGAGAGGAGATGAGTGGGAGTTCCTAAAGGGGCTGGAAGGTAGGGAGAGTCTTTGTACGCGGGAGGGTTCAAGTCTAAGTGACAGGACTGGGAGAGAAGATCGACTTGGAGGCAGAGAAGGCTGAGTACCTGAGACTTCGAAGGTGCGGGAGGGATCAGTGAGGGAAGAGGAGGAGGCAGGAAGCTGGAGAAGGAGGGAGGGAGGGAGGGAGGGAGGGAGGGAGGAAAGGAGGCTGGTTTAATTAGCAGCAGGGAAATTGAAGATCAAATTCTATTTCCGGATGAAGTTGACACGCCGCTCAACGTCTCCGTCGTCGACGTGATTCCCCTGCCTCCCTCGTCTGACCTTCTTCATCCCAACCTTCTACCTCGCTTCCTCTACCTATGTCCCTTCCTCTGCCTCCCGTCCTCTCTCTCTCTCCCCTCCTCTGACTTTGTGCAGACGTACGGCGACTTCACCCCCCTGCACGATCTTGAGAAAGCCTCTTGGGACCCAACAGCCAACCTGCCAGCAGAGTATCGGTGAGATCAGCATTCCACATGCCTCATCCTCCTCCTCCTCCTCCTCCTCCTCCTCTCCTCCTCCTCCTCCTCCTCCTCCTCCTCCTCCTCCTCCTCCTCGCAGTTTTCAACTTCATGATCCTTTCGACTGTCTCGGCCTCATCTCGTCCTCTCGCTCCTCTATTTTCCCCGTCGCTGGGCCTCATCGACTCATCTCAGTCTCGCAGACGAATCTATCAGTTCAGCAACTTCAAGGTCAGACCGTCTTGCCTGTCGTCGCGTCTGAGCGACTTCAGGGGATCCAAAAGCGATCGTTGAAGGCCAACGACCAATTCCTCAAGTCAGCCAATGCAGGAGAAGTGGAGGTGATCATCTCGACTTGACCTCCTCCTCCTCCCTCCACCTTCTCCATCTGCCTGCTTCCTTGATGGTTTCACTTTCTATTCCAGGCCGCTCAGCCAGGGCAACACATCGCCGTCAAGCTTCTTGGAGTTCCCGAGGGACAGGCAGGAGGAGGAGGAGGAGTTCGGTGGGGCGGGAGAGGGGAGGGAGCAAGGGGAGAGGGGAGGAGGAAGAGGAGGAGTTGCGAGCCATTCGCTGAGGAAGAATCAGGTCGATGCGATCATGCGGATGCACGTTGAAGGCAAACCAGTGCTATTGTCCTCCGTTCTTCGACATGAGAACAAGAGGCAAGGAGAGCGGGGAGGAGTGGAGAAGAAAGATGAGAGATGGGGAGAGGAGAGGAGAGGAAGGGAGAGGTGAGAGAAGGGACGATGAGAGGAGAAGAGAGAAGGGAGGAAGAGAGAGGAGAGGGATGAGAAGGGAAAGGAGAGAAGCGAAGGGAGAGGAGGAGGGATTGCCCTGACACCTATGCAGAGGACTGCTGAACATGCAAGTGGACAGACACGCGAGCCTTCCAGAACGAGAGATTGTTGAGAGCGAGGATGTAAGAGAGGAGGAGGAGGAGGAGGACCAGGAGGAGAGAGAGGCTGAGGGCCTTGTAGGAGCTGGAGTTCCACCTGGGGTTCAGACGAGAATCCGGTCGTCCGATTTTCTCGCATGCTGTCGGCAGCACCAGCACGGGACAGTTGAAATTCATTGTGCAGAAATTTCTACTGTACGAGAAAGGTAAGGGAGGAGGAGGAGGAGGAGGATGGACATAACTGGCAGCAGGCAAGGTCTTTGCTTCCATCTTCGCTCCAACCGTGTTTCCCAACGTTCCTGTCCTGATGTTTCGTCCCAAAGACTCTAGGTGTCCCTTTGCTGCTCGCATCTCCTTCTGATCTCATCTCATCTCATCTCATCTCATCTCATCTCGTCTCATCTCGTCTCTATCCAGGCTTGTGGGCACGGGCACAACCATTGACATGGATTGCGATCGGATCCTCTTGAAGAGAATCACCTTGACAGGATATCCCTACAGGCACCTCTTCTTCTCCTCCTCCTCTCTCCTCCTCCTCCTCCTCCTCCTCCCCCTCCTCCTCCTCCCCCTCCTCTTCCTTCTCTCCCTCCTCTTCTCTTCTCCTCTCCTTATCGTCGTTCAGGATCCACAAGCTCACTGTTGTCGTCCGCTGGATGTTCTTCTTCGAATCCGACGTTCGCGCCCTGACCGGCTGCAAGCTGGTGAATCTCGAGCTCTCACTTCCCAGCTGACCGCCAGCAGACGAGCAAGTTTGGGCTCGAGGGGGAGCTGCTGGGGCCTCTGGGAACGCGCGGGCTGATGAAGACCAAGTGGAGCGACAGCGTCTCGTTCAAGGACACAGTCTGCCTGCACCTCTACAAGCGAGTCTTCCCTTCCCCCCTCTCTCCCCCCTCCCCTGTCTCTTAGTCTTCCCCTCCCTTCTCCTTCCCTCTAACTCCCTTCCCTTCTCCGTTTTCGCTCTCTCTTCCTCCACCACTGCTGTCCCTCCTCCTCTAGTTCTTTTTTCCTTCCTCGCCCTTGGCTTCATAGGTCCAATCCCTCCTCCTCCTCCTCCTCCTCCTCCTCCTCCTCCTCCTCCTCCTCCTCCGCCTGCCTTCCATCCCCTCAGCCTCATTTTCAACGAGCAGCAAAGAGCAGCGGTTTGTTGTCTTGTCCTTTCAATCATTTCTGTACAGCTTTCTTCCACCCCTCATATACTCCTTACCCTCCTCCTCCTTCTCCTCCTCTTTCATTACCTCCTCTCCTCTTTGCGCTCATCACGGATGAGCTTCTTCTTCGTCGTCAGTCATCCAATCGCCTGCTCACTCGTCAAACCCTTCTTGTCCTCGTCTCTCTTCACATCAACTCCTCCTCCTCCTCCTCCTCCTCCTCCTCCTCCGCCCCTTCCCAGCCTTCTCACCATCCTCATCGCCTTCTTCGTCCTGTTCATGCCATCATCACAACGACAGGAAAGAAGCGAGTCCTTACCTCCATCGCCACGTTGTCGTTGCCGTCACGCTGCCAAGTACATGAGAGGGGGAGCGAGGGAGGAGGAGCGAGGGAGGAAGAGCGAGGGAGGAGGAGCGAGGGAGGAGGAGCACCGACCAGATTCTTTTCGATCTCTTCGTGCAGCTCCTGCAGCCTGGAAGCCTGGAAGACGCAGTGAGAGGAGGAGGCTCAGTGAGAGGAGGAGGCTGACCTGGTCCTCATCTTCTACGCCCTCTTGCTCCAGAATCTGAGCGAGTAGAGTGAGAGAGGAAGACAAGGAGGGAAAAGAGGCAGAGGGGCACGGGGCAGGTTGAGGGAAAGGGGAGGAGAAGGTAGAGAGATTCACCTTGATGGCGGACAAGGTGCAGTGATGAGCGGCCGAATGAGCTCCTCGATGAAAATGAATCAAAGCCTGAACCTCGTCAATGCAGCAACCACTGCTTCCTCCCCCTCTTCCTCCTCCTCTTCTGCTCCTCTGCTCCTTCCTCCCTCTCTTCCTGACCCCTTCTCCTCGTCTCCTTCCTCTCCTTACGTACCAGGAGGTACCAGGTCTCAACGTATTGATCGTCCACTTGGAGGAGGAGATTTCCAAACTGACAAGACAACTCAGCGATGAGGGAAAGAAGGAGGGGAAGGAGGAGAGGAGAGGAGAGAAAAGGGGAAGCAGGAGGGAGGGGCGGGAAATTAGGAGGGGACGAGAGGGGAAGCAGGAGGGGAGGGGAGGCGAAGGGAACAACGAGGAGGAGAATTTGAGGAGGAGGAAGGAGGAAGGAATGGCGAGTAGGAAGGAAGACAAGGTGGGGGACGAGACTTCTCACCTCCTCTGCTTCATCGAGCTGCTCGAGCTCGATCAACAACTTCAAAATTCCTGTCGACTTGTCACATCCTCTTGATTCTTCATCTTCT